CTGAGCATACAGAGCTTATTAATATACGTTGGGTAAGGGCAAAACGCGTTATATAAAAAAGACACATACGGTTCTTCAACGCAGCCTGACAATGGCCCAATTCTAAGCCGTAGCCACAATCTGCTCCGAGCGGAACAAAGGAGGGCGTGTTTTTTAGTACTCCCCGCATACAGGTGCGCCATGAGGTGCGCAAGTATATGCACGTTTGACGTGGAGCACGCTGACTACGCGTAACTAATTTACTCCGGCATGTATAGGGTGCGTTTGATTGCCTTCCCTGCAGTGTTACACGCAAGGGAAGCCTCGAAATGAGGGTAATCGAACGCTGCAGTGTACTCGCCAAGGCATTCTAGGAAAAAGGTCAAGTCCCCGCCACGTTCCATCATGTACGTCCATGCACGAACAGTCCATCCATGACGTCATTACACTCGAGCAGCCTCCAGAGATCCGCTCGCCAGCCGGGGTAGTAGTGCCTGACACCAGAGCGGGCACGAGGATCACGTGATGGCTAAACGAACGCTCTCGTGTAAGTTTGACTTACACGTGTAAGCAAATCAATACACGCAGAACGCGTGCAAGAACCCGCTTGTAACCACCTGTCTTTCTTTCACCGATTGGGGGTGCAATTCAGCTCGGGGCGGATAGACCCGACCCGGACATGACTCAAGCTGTCCTCTGTTGCAGAATACGACCTGTAACACCAACACCAGCAGTGTCTCGAAAACACGCAGTGGGCCTGCATGTGCTCCTAGTACCCACGGCCGGAGGACAACGGTAAGTGTGTTACATATTATTGAAAACGGTGACCTGTGGGTAGACTGCGCCTCTTATCTCTCGTAGTTATTACAGCTGTTGTTTCAGTCTTAGAAAAGTTTCAACGTTCGCGGTCGATCGATACTTCGGACAAAAGAAAAGTTCACAAAGCACATGAGGAAAAGTGGCCGACGGCTTGGTAGAGCTCTACGATCAATGCACCGCGCAGGTTGTGGACAAGACATCTACGGGTGCAGTCTAACTTCAAGTGAGAATTTCTGGCCAGCTCATTAGCATTAAAAATGCCCCCCCCAGTATCTTTTGAAGAAAATGAACGGAGATTGTTTGGCCCCTAAAATGGTGAGATGGAATCTTGCCAAGATCATTTCCGTAATCTTTGGGCTTTCATCGGAGAGCAGAATGGCTGAAAAATACTGTTGAAAAATGGTTGTCACTTGAAAAAATGGCTGCAAGCAGACTTTGGAAAAAAATGGGGGGGAGTGATTTTGTTTTGTGGGAATGAAATAAAAGCGTAATCTTTTCACCCGCAGAAAACTGAAAAGATATGAAAGATTAGGGACCAGACAATAATTTAATCTGTGCTTCAGAAACGTCAGGGATGTTGGTATGCACGTTATAGTGCCTGAACAGTGTCAAGTTTACACTGTTTAATGGGCTGGAATTAGTGGACTACACCCAGCAACGCCCCTCGCCAGTAATGTGGACATGTACCTGTACAATATACCCGTGTATAGAAAAAAAACAGAGTCAGTTGCATGAACCTGCTTTTCGTGGGGGTTCCTGTGCTCGTCACGTCAGGAAATCTTGACTCGTTAAATCTGACACACTGTTAATATTATTTCATATCAAATTTTGTATGATTGTTTACACACGGACGAAGGTTTGTTGAAACAACTGCGTACGGAGCTGAGTATATTATTATTCCTGTTCTCGTTCTGGTGTCTTTATTATAGTTACAAAACAACGTACTCCAGAGTTTGTTGCATCTATATTATGGCATGCAAAGTTCACATTTAATCCCGAAATAGGAGCCATGGGTGTGTGCGTTCGCGCAGCTACTCCTGTTACATGCAGTGCTAACACGAGTAGGATGCGTGCGCATTACACTCGGGTGCAGGATACTAGTCCCCGTTTCATAGCAAGAGTATACTCTCGCTGACCCGCGGGTCGTACTCAAGCCGTTTGAACGCTCAGGAGTATACTCGTGTTTAACACGAGTAGCTCGCTCGCACGCACCCTATAAGACCAATACGGGATGACGGTACGACGATGTGCTCAATCGATATAAAGCGCGATATCGTTGAAAAACTGGTCGAGTTTTCAAACCCTGCGGGTCATTCCCCTTTTGCGCTTGACTTAGGCTAGTTGGTTTGGTTTTGTCCTCCACGCACGATCCACGCGGCGTGTACACAGCGGCGCAACTATTATGCTGGGGGGGGGGCACCCGGGGCGATCACATTTTAATCAAGGGGCACCAAAAACAATGAGCTGCAGCAGAGGTTGTTATGCATGGATTTCAAATGGGGAAGGGTCACTGAGCATACACATGTTCTGAATCCGAATCTGGATCTGCTGAAACGTCTACACGTACTTGCATATTTTTCACGTTGTTGCGAGGGGACGTTGGTTGTTCGTCCTGAACTTCCAGATGATCGACCGTCCAGTGATCCATTTAGTGATGAAACTGTCAATTACCCTGTTATTAGAGCCGCGCTGATGGCCGGATTTCCACTGAAGTTCTCGCGGGGAAAAACACCATTATAATGACTCGTCCAGTGGTGTATCCGTGAGGGGGTTGGCAGGAGGTAACTTGCCCCCCTGACGGGTTTTGTTTAACTGTTTCCCTCGTAGTATAGACAGGTCTGACATGAAGAAATAAAGAAGAGCAAACACCCCACCCCAACATCATGTTGGATACGGAGGACCTGAGACCTACCATCGCGTCTACTATCGAGCTGATCTTTGGCAATCAGCGTGAACAGTCCCATAAGAAGCCACAGTGTTGGATTAAATTTATAACGTAAACAGGACGCAGGAAAATGTCGTCGATTGTTGGCGTCGCGGTTCCACTGATTCAGACTGTCGTACGAGTTCAAGACACGTTCTCCACAGCTTATCTGCGCAGTGTGGTTTGTGAAATGCACATGTCTGTTTGTGAGTTCGTACCGCAACCTCTGCATAAGTGCCATCAAAAGTACATTGTATTATCTTACGGATCTACATGTATTATATGTCCTCGACATTGAGTACAGGGCGTGTTGACCTTCAACTTGTTGACTCTTTAACGGTGGCTCGTCGGGAATCCCCCACAATGCTTTTACTCTGAAGTGATGGGGATGTACATGTAATAAACACTTTCATCCGGGATGCAAATCTTTATGCCACATGACGATTAGACTTGACTCAAGTCCAAAACTATACGCGTATTTCCTGGCAACTTCGAGCTGAATTGATTCCTGTTTGTTTGCATAATTTACTGGTGTCAGGCCATGGACTCCTTCATGCCATGTCTCGTCTTGTCTTTGCCCACAACAATCTCTGCCCCTGTAAACTGTCGCAACGTGTACAGGACCAACGGACGATTCACAATAGTGCATCTCCAAGAGATTGCAACGCGTTGACCAATCACAGTGCGCGAAACCTTTCGACCAATCGCGCGTTTGAATGGGGTTGACAGATTTTGCGCACTGTGATTGTTCAACTCGTTACAAACTCTTGGAGACGCACTACTGTGAATCGACCGCATTGTTTAAAAGTCACATACATGTATAAAGTAATAGCAAATACGAAATACGTGCTACTGTGCTACTAATGAGAACAGAAAGGCGAATCATACATGCTTGAAATTCGCGAATGATAACATTTTATGCAAGAAAAATCAGAGGAATGTGTTGGGAAAAAATATGGATAAGCTCAGATAAGCAAAACTGGCAGATAAAGACCCAAATCAAACCGAAGTAAGTAGTGGCTTCCGACGTACATATTTTCCTTCAAACAGAATTCTTCTGCTTTGCAACCATACTAGGTCTGCGAGTCGGTGTCAGGCACCGACTTGTGCACACGTCCACTCAGCCAAGAACTTAGAGGATCAGTCGTGCAAAGATCCTTGACAGTGGACAATAACAGTGGATAGAAGGCACGTGAAAAGGCTTCAAAGTTCCAGCGCTGACTGCTCAAATCACAATTTTCACGCCATGGTCTGAAATATGTCCATTTTAGAGTTTGTTTTTTGAAAAAAAAAGGACGGAGCTGGTATTCAGGATTTGAACTCGTTAGTCAGGACTGGACTTGTATTTCTTGAGGGAAAGAGTAGACCCAAAAGACGCACTTCAATCAGGTTTAAGACGCCATTTCTTAACGAGACCGGCTACCAGACTATTTTGGCAGGGATGAAAGTACCTTGGAATGTCGTCCCGAATTCATCCTATTACTTCTCAGAACTTTAAAAGGAAGAGTGTCGTGGGCATTTTTCTTGATTTTCGGGAAGAGTTGGGGTTACTTTTGTTTGGTTTGGTCTCCAACTTTTACCCTCCAGGTGCAGAATCGATTTTACCAAAACTATGGGCTGCGCAGTGGGAAAGCAAGATGACGATGGTGAGGATTCGATGAGTATACTTAGTCATACTTAGTAACACTGTCCTGACATTGTTTGCTAATCCCTGTGAAACGTGTATTAATAAACATGCACCGGTAATTTTCTGTTGTCTTTATTTGCAAATCAACTGTACTCAATAAGCTGTGGACCTTGGTTTTGATTTGCCAATTCTAACTCGTTGACGTTCATGGATGGGATTCCCAAACCTATTTCTTGTAAACTGTAGACTTTAAAATGAAGTGTATTTCAAATCTTCTGTCCAAACACAGTGCGAAAACAGGAGGCTTACAGCAAATGTATCATGCATTGGAAACTGGCTGTTTTTGTATACTGTTACGCTGCAGCATTGTATGGAAAAATGCACGAAGTTTGTGTTATAACTTCCTTGCTCTGTCTTTTTATTCAGCTCCTAACGATCCCCAGTCCGCTCAACAGGAGATGAAACAGCAAGAAGGAAGCAGTGGAACGAAGGCAAGTTATAGTTACAAATCATACACACGCAGTAGGGTACCAGCAGGAAATCACTGGCTGCAACATTTTGGAATGAGTGCCCGAGTCTGACTGTTTCTGGCTGAGGCTGGAAACGTAGCTCACACGCACTACGGAAGTCACTGGCTAAAGATCTAGAACACAGACGCGCGTGTCCAGAACGGCCGCAGACACATGTTCGAAAACTGACAGGGCTTCTTGAGATTAGTTAAGAGTTACACGGGCCTTGTTCGGTCAGCCAGCATTTGTCTGATTCATTTTTCCACGGTGCAGCTAACTTAACGCTCAAACTGTATACTGCATGGGAGCCAGGCGAAATCGAGCAAATAGTTGACTATCACGGTCATCGATCGGACATGGTCACGCATGTCGTCCCCATGTTGGAGGACTGTAACCTCGTATTATACGCGAATCAAACCGTGAAATATTGGGATTTTTTTAAATTCTATGAACATTACTACCATTGCATGCGTTCAGTATGGCACCCAGATGGGTCAGAACAGACGCCACCCATGGTCCATGCCAACAAACTATAAGAGCCAATGGTGCTAGAGCTATACCTGCCAGCTACGGACCAATCTTGAGATGCAGAAGACAATACATTCTTTCACCGCATCAATAAAATAAATCTTAGGGCTTGGCGCGCATCTTCTTTTTATTGCTGACGAAAAAATTATGAAAAAAAAAAACCTTCCCAGGTATCATGTCATTGTTATAATCTAGGTATCCCGATATGTAATTGGCTCTCGATCAAATTATGGAGACATGGACCTTTTTCTATAGCAGAGAGGTTGTAGGTATGGCTCCTTCCGGTGTCAGAGTGGTCTGGAAATAAGGTGGATTCGGTGAGCCCAATCCCAAATGTTCGTCTCGTTAATAAAGCCCACGATATGGCCACTTTTTGCACAGGTGCTAGAGGAAGAGATACGTCTGCAAAACCCCAGCGGGTCTGGGGACGCGGTACACTTCCAAGCATGGATTGGGCATACCGTCGGGCCATACACCCTGACGAACGTGACAGCAAACGGACTGGCCAGTATGGCGGGTTTGAGGTAATCATCCATATTGTGTTTCGCAGTGGGTTCCGTAGATATGGCCTATACTTAAAAAATTGGTGGCGCTTTGCAATGTCCGCTTTGTGGATGGATCTCCTTCACAGCATCGTGTTTCAAATCTGAACGTATCGTTTCAACCGATATAAGTTTGGGCTCCAAATTACGAAGAGCAATTCCCTGCAATGGAGCTCTTTAGACCTGCTGTGGTCCAACCGTTGCCAATTGCCGAATATTTGCATTTTGGCAGAGTTACCCGTTGGGGTGATTTTTAGCAACCCGACCTCTAACCACAAGCGTGTTTGTGCATGACAATATAGATACGAAAACGTCCAACAAATGACCAAAGCAGAAACATGAACGTTTCTGGTCGCTGTCAAAAAAATCACTGACTCCATTAAACTCCTTTTTAGGCGAGGCGACCAGCTCATCGGAATGAACGGCCAGAACATCGAAAAATACAGTCTTGAGCACGTCTTATATCTTCTCTGCGAAGACATCGAGACAAAACTCCTACTGGTAAGAAAGCCTTAAGAATGTCACTGCACGTTCTACGTTCGTGGGAGTCACACTAGTGGGGCCGGCCTCCCTTGCTATGAAGCACTGGAATATTTCGGTGAAGTTGCATCTGCAATTAGACAAGTTTCACCTGAATATATGTGGGCCAACGTCACAGTTTCACATCAAAAGGGCGCGCTGGTCAGTATCGGCACCAGGACTGCACTATCTGATAGACAATGTGCTTTGGGGCCTCAAAAAATGGGGTCCTATATCAAATCAGAGGGCTGGCTCCAATGTTCGTAGCTGACTTTGCCAATCACACAATTCCATGCAATGGGCTGCGATTTGCCTCAGTTTTTTAAAAGAAGGTTGACGATGTCACTTGTTTTATGAATAGGAGCTGAAGCGAACCGACGGCGGAATCACCAAGTACGTATGGTCGTTCTTCGAACTCTCCATTCGAGGTACGTGTATTGATTATCGGAGGCAGACTTCAGATGCTTGTCCAATGACCAATACGTCAGCAGATAGTTTCACCTCTAGGACTGAAACTTCTCCGAGCAGTTTCTGGTCGATGTTGATCAGTTTGTGAACAGACACAAGGATGAAATCGTGATATTAATAAATATCTTGCTCCTTTTTCGTATCATAAATACCCGGTAACTTCTGAAGTGGGCTCAATTTAACTTGAACGAGGGCAGAATCGCTTCCTGGTAACACTCTTTGTCAAAATGACAAAAAAAATTTAAAAAAAGCGCGGTACCATGACTGGTTCCCTCCCTTTTTACTTTCAGAGGGCAACCCAGTAATTCAGGTGATACAATTACTCGAGACTCACATCGATGCCATACCCACGGAAATTTTGGACGCTGCCATCTCGTGGATTGGTGCTCCAGTGAACGCTGTCGAGATCTACTTGCCTGATGAGAATCTCTATCTGGGCATTGACGATGAAAAACTATCGTTTATGAAACACGACAAGGACAAATGTAAGTGGTGTATTTCTGGCCGTGAAGGTGAAGCTCGTGGTCTTTGAAAAATTTCCTATTACACTCATAACGGACAGTGGTGCAAATTCTAGAGATTGTATTGCTGTCGCCGCAGTACGCACGTTCAAAATTCAGGCGAAGACTTCTTGTGAACACAGTGACAAAGTTTAACCTTGTTTATAAGTCAGCCACGTAGAGTTACCGGTATGTACGGTAAATTTTTATTTTGGCAACCCCATTACGCATAAATTTCATTTATCATGATGACTAATTTGAAATGAGAGGCATGACACCTAAAATAGTCTGGTACCACCCCATTTTACGCATTACATAGAAGACGATAAATTCGGGAAACATGATCAAAATGGCTCACCTATGAATAAGACCTATGTGATTGCCAATCATTATAAACAGAAACGACACCTCTGCTTCACTCCTCTAAAATATACTTCTTTATGTTGTTAATCCTTGTACCGTTTCGCATTTTGAGTTGGGAAGCGGGTATTTTTCCATGTTCAGTATGGAGCTGTCATTCCACTCCATATAGCAATCCTTTAATCGTGCAATGCTTTTATACTTTGTGCTTGCCAGTGGACAGAACAAAGCTGTGAAAATTGTGATTCAAGCTTTTTGTCACATCCAGAGGGAGTTTGTCTGTGAATGGGGAAAATTAGATTAGTGAGATGTTACAATATCAAGTGATAAAGGTTGAATGAACTAGCCGTTCGACACTGAATGGACGTCAACGGGACGTTGCACTAGTGAGACGAAGTGATTCGATTGAGGAATGAGTTGCACGTATCGACGTAATTCCTCGTTGCAGGCACGTTTTACAGATACAACTATGAAGGCGGCGACTCGTCCCAGGGCAACATCGTAGCCTACACGCAACAGAACTTCAAGCCACCGCCGACTGACATTAAAAATACACCAGCCACAACAAACGGCACTTCAGCACCTGAGCTTTTCGTAGAGGTTAGTAGACTGGCGCACGAAAAGACGCAGGATGCAAAGGGAGACTTTTACGGGGCGCTCCGCGTTATCTGCTCGTTCCTCTTCATTCAATATAAGACGTTTAATATGTTGCGTAGCGTTTTTCTATAAATTCTGTACTTAGTATTGCGGATCGGACAGTAGAAGCAGCCTATACGCTTACCCTGAAAAGAGGAAATTCTAGTATTTTTCTGTTTTGTCTGTTTACCCCCTACCGCCCCCCACGAAAATGTGCTTCTGGATTTGCACTTGAAAATAAGCCACTCTTCCCCTCTTACTGGCAGGATTTTCCTTCTTCGATGGTGACGCAGTTGTCATTTCCACCCGATCCCCGTCTGTGGTACGAAAAAATAGATACTACGGGAGACCAGGAAGGACGTACACTGCAAAGCATGACTCAACAGGGTAAATTCTCCTTACTCTAACCGTTTGCCTAAAACAGTGCATCAGTTTGCAGCCGCTGTTTAGGTTAATTAAACAAGATACGGGAGAAACAGCCTGGGAGAAACCTGCCGCAGACTTGTCGCAGTGCCAATGTTCTCCAAACCGTGGACACAGAATGCTTGCTGTGGGAAATGGTGCTTCCCGCATTCTGGTGTACCCCTTATTGGGAGCATGCATCCATTTTGTGTCCAGATATTAAGACTTCATTGACTGGGGTACGGTGTTATAGCTCCCGCGTCCTTGATTTCACTCCACCTGCCACGCCATAATTATCAATCTTTCCTTCGTGTCTTCCAAATCAGAGTGGTACTTGGCCAGAGATCCGGCAAACAACGCTGCAATTTTGTCCAAGTATGCCTTGGCGATGAGCATCTTGCCAGTGGAGCTCCCAATCGTTAAAATAAAGACAACTGAAGAAGCAGTTTCTACTTAGTCTGATAGCTATTATACTCTGTCACATCCCCAAAAACGGTTTCCTGAGAAGGAAAAGTCGATCGGAATTCCCCTGTGTTTCCGAATGCTATCTATAAAATCGCATTGGTGGTCTGCGCCACCTTTAGTACACGCCACTTTTCGTATGTAAGATGGTACTATTTACATTACACTATATGATACGTAATAAGCCAATCCATAACTTTAGTTACAGAATATGAATCATATTCAGTACTCCTTTTTCTGTATTATTCACACCTAATGTTTGGAAAAGCCGTAATGTCTCGTGATAATTATCTAATCAAGGCCGTTTTCCAATACTCAACTTCAGCTGCGTCTCAGGCTTCAACTGGTTTTTACGACCTGACTTTGAAGTTGTAAGCGCACTAATTAGTCTAATAGTGCCACAAAACATCATATAAGATGCAAGAGAGCAAAAAATTACAGCAATCCAAATTGATTTAAACGCTTCAGGCCCACAATCGGGGACTGGTTTTGGGGACAAAGCCTGAGACGGAGATGAAGTTGAGTATTGGATAACGGCCCAGGGCAAGCTTTTGCAATGAAGTTCGCTCTCGCCACAAAACGAAACACATCACTGTCGTTGGTATTTATGCCACTTGAAAAATAGGCCCTGTTCTTATGATCGGAATGACCCATCTGGCTTTCAGATTAATTTTGTTTTGTTTTATTTTGGCCCAAGGGTGATCCATCAATAACTGAGAATTTTAGCCGCCAATGCACAGTGAGGTTAATGTATCACTTGCCTCAACTTCGGCATCGACATTGTACTTATGTTAAACATCCAGAAAAAAATGTTTTTATTGCACTGTGAAATACATTGCGTACATTTATGGGAAATTACCAGTCAGTCACGCATGGGTGTCAGCACTATATTGTATGTAAAGTGTTCCCTAAACTGTGAACGGGAAATTATTTACTTACCCTTTTCTTGCCCGCACAATCGTACCCATGGCTACCAGGCGATTTCCCGAAAATCTACGGGATGGACGGCTATACTTTCGATCTGTACCTTTTTAAAAGTTTTGTGGTTTGAAGTATGCACTTTATCATATGGGAATGCTCCCCTTGTTTCCCAGTTTGTACCCTTGCTGTTGACTGTCGTTAGCCGAGTGAAGATGGTCTAGACGACAAAAGTCCAAAAAGTGCATGGTTTGGGGCGTCACGTGGTATAAGAGAGTCGGAGCAACAGCTCAATCCCCGCAGAGAATCATGGGAAGTGTCTCATAAATGCGTGCCTCTTCAGCCCCGAGTGTGCCGCCATTATTATCGTCACCATTTTCACGGAGAGAATTGTCAAAAACACATTTTCCTTCCGATCTAGATACTTCACCAATTTATTCAGGTAATAACGTCATTGGCCTACTTGGCCATTTTGGCGTACTCCTACAAGCGAAACATCATTAACGTCAAAATTCATATCACGTGGCTTGGGGCAGAAATCTCATAACCATGGTTATACATGTGCACATGTATCAGTACGTTTTCACAAAGAGACACGAATCTGACTGCACCCCTCGTGCACGTACAAAACGTATTGCACGCAAGGGCCTCCAAGTTGGTCAACCGAGATGTTAGTTTTCAAGAGACACATAACCTTTGTTACATTAATAAGGATGGGTGCCACTTCCTTATGGAAAAAAAGCAAATTGGACAGAAGGGCGTCGATGTTTGGAGAACGTGGCTGTTCGTTCTCACGAACGGACGCAGATCTTAACTCAAAGATTTTGGCTAATTAGCCACTGTGTTCATTCCAACTGGGTTCAGGCAAACGTTTAAGAATCACTGGTCTCAGGTTTTGACTACATTGTTGCAAAATCACTATAAAACGCTGCTGTTAAAAGCAACACTTTTTGGTGTTGTCAGGGGTGTTACTTTAACACCGCTGGTGTTGCTTTGCACACCTATTAGTGTTACAGTGCACTGGAGGATGTTAACAGTAACACCAAATAACACCAACATCTTTAACACCAGTGAAAAATGTTGGTGTAGTCCTCTGATAACACCAAGGGTGTTGAATTTAACACCCAAGTTTTTGTAGTGTTCATATTTTTTTGCAGTTAGGCCTACAGGATAGGAAAAACTTCTCTGGCAATTATGTCAAAAACCCTTCTTTTCTTCGAAATCCACACGTCTCTGTCTGAAAACAATGATGTTGTATACTATAATTCGCTGCTGCTACAGCTGTATAAAGGCAAGGAAATATGAAAATGCTTAAAGCTGGAAGTGTTGGAAAAAACCTTAAGAAAAACCTAAAAATGTCTTATAGGCGAGACTCTACAGCCATGAAAATTTGGAAATTTAACGGTTTCTGCTGATGACGAGGCTGGGCTATTGCATTTACTGGCTGCGAAGAAGGTTAAACAAAATGCTTTCATATGAAAAAAACTATTCCAGTACAGGATACTAGTCTTGTACCTTGCACGTAATTGCTTACCTCAGATATGTTTATGTACTTAGTTTAATGGCGGTAGCAATCTGGTAACCTTGGTGTGCATACCATCTTGCAGGCCAGTGTCTTGTTCCTCAGGGTATGCACAAAGGAGGTTTTCCTGTAGAACAAAAGAAGTGCCCTGGAATATCATGGCTACCACGCAAAACAGCCAACGGGTTTTTGCACTCAGCCGCTCACTGAATTTGATCATAGAGCACAGTTGCAAGGTTCCCAATGAGATCTCCGCGATGAAGCTCTATGTCATCGATTTTTACTTTTAACGGTAAACAGCCCCGTAAAATTCGGCCCTGGAGCGTGAACTTGTGCAAAGTGATGAATGCTGAGTGCATCTACCTGTGCCTATGGGAAACTTTTGTATGTTTTTTTTTTTTGCATAATTGTTTAGCTATTATGTGTGTACCTTCATAGGTAAATCTTTAATGGTGTGTCAATAGATCCAGTACTCCAGAACCTTGGTGCATTCTCGGTAACTGCGTACGGTTTTGTTTGTCTCGATGCAATTAATGCAAACTGGTGCACACATCTCGCTGCCAGTAAAGTTTGCTGAGGCCTTTTAACGCATCAGACTACGAACAGCAACATGATTCTGCGTGTGTGTAACTTAGTTGTTATACTTTCACAGTGCATTTCGGGTAAATTGTTCGGAATTCGTTCCATCTTAATATTCCATTGTCTTAATTACAAGACACGTACGTAATGAAGCACGTACTTGAATTCCACATGTACGATGAACCACGGACCATAATGACAAGCATGACCAGTGACTGCTGTCGGAAATGCATGCCCCAAAGCCTACCTTCCAGTGACTTGATACAGAAAAGAACAATCCCACCCTGACGCCATCTTGCCAACTTAATTATCCTCCGTAAGCTGCGGACCCCACGTCAAACGCACCACTTGCTTCAGCATACTAGCCCCCGACGATAAGGGTCCAGTCCACTAATTCAAGCCCCATTGAAAACAGTGTAAAATCAGCACTGTTCAGGGCCCAGTAACNCTGAAGTCTGATTGCAGCCATTTTTTTAGTGGCAACCCTCAACTTACTCGGGCACTTAGGACCATTTTTCAACCGTTGTTTTCTGCCCTCATATGAAAGCTCAAAGACCCAGGGAGTTGATCATGGCAACGATTTACACAATATCACCATTTTGGGGGCCAAACAATCTCCTTTTTCAAAAGATACTGTGGGGGCACTTTTAATGCTAATGAGCTGGCCAGAAATCCTCACTTGAATTAGTGGTCTGCACCCATAACGCTTTCTGTTCTTGCTACCTGCTGTGGCGCTTGCGCAAAATTTCCATAAAAATCAAGCAGGCTGCGCCAGCGAGACAGACAGACCCCTGACCCGCGTATGATTCACACTACCCTCTGTGTAGGTTGAAACAAGTGCGTTTACAAAAACAGGCCAGATCACCAGCAGTGTTCAGAGAACACACGGTGCATGCACAGGTACATAGGTAAGTGTGGTGTAACCTGTAAAGATTGTTGACTATTTTTAGACCATCAAATAGACCGCACCGCTTTTCTCTCCCAGTTACCGCGACATTCGATATTTTGTAGAAAACAAAGAGTCCCTTTATGCAGCAAACAAGGAAATCGCACACAACGGGCTCTCGGATTTCCAGTGATCAACTTGCAGCGTACACCTCCTCCACGCTTAAATAACAAGTCGTTAGATGGTCGTGTTTTGAACTTCATACTAAACCAAAGTTCGGTAAGTTCGCTCGAAATCTGTTTGTTTACGAGGCAACCAACGTCCCCGTGCAGATAATTTACAAACCGACTTTTCACCAAATACAAGGGCATATCTGTGCTCAATGAGCTTCCTAGTTAATCATTGTTAAGCGTGTACATGCCATGCATAGACATGAGAGCACCTTGCTCTATGATACATGTCATGAAGTATCTTCTGACACACTGTAATGTATACACACCAGAAGGTTCATGATTGTGTACAGACAGACGTGGGCTTCTCGAAACACAGCGCAAAATGGTGACTAACTTCCCTGTATATATTTTCTGATGATCATTCAGTAATGAAACAACCACATGCACTTTGGTGTCTGTGCACAATCTCCCGTTGTTTCCTGGTTTCATTGCAGCATTGCCATCTGGTCTGTTTTGTGCATTCGTCCATGCTGGGTTGATTCCTCGTTTGCTTGTTTGTCCCGTCTACAGTAGGCCTACTTGTTATTTGCCTTTAAGAAAGATGCTACTGGGATCAAAACGTCAGGCCCTCCATTCGTGATTTGCATTTTAAGTCACTGTAGTTAGCAAGCAGTTTGCAACATGCAGTTTTGTATTACTTATCTCCTAGAATCTATAAGTGGATAGACAGGTCTGCCACACCGAGCACTTGGACCAGCTTCTTGAACTTCACGATCCATGTGCATGAAAGTCCCCATGAGAAGAACCCCTTACCCTGGGTAATCGCATTAAATGCCTCATTGGCATTCCATACCTGGGACCGCACCGCGTCATGGGTACTTGGAAAGACCACAGAGCTACAACCCTTTTACCAACCACACAGACAATCGGTAAAAATCTTTCTCCCTCTGTCTGCCCGCAGGAGGAAGTGCGATGGTTTAAATTTAGTTGGCCTGAACACAGGGCTCTGTGAGCCCTTGTGACCGTCAAGCAATTACACTCGCACGGGAAAAAGCAGTGGCACGACCTATTCATATGCTCAATCGTTCCAGCGCGGTATCTTTGCGAGATCGGTCAAGTTTCGGTTGCATTCCCCTATCGCTCTAGACTTGTTGCTATAAGTTGGTAATTGATATAGTTTCGTCCTCTAAGATCCACGCGATATACGCAGACACATATCTAAATTTAAATCTGAATTCTGGATATTTCCATATTTTCATATTTGCGCGGCCTGCCATGGAAAGTTGGTTGCTCGTCCAGAACGGATGATCGACTGTCCAATGATCCAGTTAGATAAGTCAAAACTCTGCCAATTATATTAATTATTAATATACAACCGCGCCGATAGATTTCGACTGAAGTTTACGGGCAAAATACAATTATCAAGTCTCCTATCGCACTGTTAGCCTCAGTAGTTCCATAATATATGAACCACTATGTTGGATCAGGATCGTAGTATGTTAGATCTGTTTTGTAACGTAAACAGCAAGTGGGAAATGTCGTTTCCGTTGATTGTTGTCGTCGTCGTTGCTGTTGTAATCATTCCTGTTTCGTGTGTAAGCCCACAATGACTGTCGTTCACGACTTGTGCATAATAGTCCACGCAGCGTGCAGTTTACACTGAAATGTATGTGGGCGTATAGAAATATGTTCTGTGCCCTCTGCGCACGCCATTAAGGCTACCGAATACAAAGTGCGTTGACCTTCAAGTTGTTGACTCCCTAACGGTGGCTTCAATGGTATATCCTACAATACTTCTCAATCAAGGTAATGATTTGCTATAACTGTTTTTCAGAACGCAAGGGTGATGTGTATATTCGTGTGTATTCGGGACAAATCTTGAAATCCGCATTACTATTGGGAAGTGGACGAGGGCAAGGTTAAATTTGATCTGGGCGTAAATCATTAAAGATGGATATAAATGTCCTTGGGGGAAATAGGCATTTGGGGAGGACAGTTAAATTTGGTTTTTAAGTCTCATGGAAATGTTGCTGCCGGTGACAGACGACAGTCTGATCAGCGTAGCCGCAATGGAAATTATTCTAGCGGCAGGGCTTTGGTACAAACATACGATTTCAGCGCTTGAGTCCAAGCGCACTCCCACAAAGCTTTTTTTATTCAGTGCTCAGCACTTAATTGTTCACGCTCCACTGCTCAGTTTGCACCAGCATTGTCAACATAAGGCGTAAAGAGTATTTAGTCTCGAAATTCCTGACAACTGTGAGCCGCACTGATTCTTGCTTGTTTACGTATCGCGTCAGGTCATGTGCGTTATGTCTTGTCCTTCCCATGGTGCAACGATCTCTGTACATACTTCCGATCGACTTCCGATCTACTTTCGATCGACTCCCGTCACAGTTTTGCCCACTGGCCGTGACGACCGGGTGTGGCGGTCCCAGCTCAGTGTCTCCCGGTCTCAGCGGTCCCTCTGATCAAATATGGTAAAAATAAGTCATGCCATCTGTGTGCACAACAACGGGAAACTGTTTACAATGTCCGGCTATTCAAAAGGGGGGGAGACCGCTGAGACCGGGAGACAGCTGAGACCGCCCTAGCGGACCAACTTGATGATTCACGAAGTGTTTAAAAGATTACTGACAAATATCAAAACACAAAACGCCTTCTACTACACTATACTTTTATACTGTACTGTACTTTACTTATATGCTATACTACTTCTACTTATAAGAATAGAAAAGCAAATTGTAAACGAGTAAAATTCGCGAATGATTTTGAAAGAAAGAAATCAACGGAATGTGCTGAGACAATTCCTGATGAGGTCGGATGTTAAGAAAGACAGGTTAATGCTTAAATCAAACCACTTTAACATTTCGTTAAGTTTAAAAGACAGAATCCTTTCGCTTGGGAACCATACTGGATCAACTGAAGTCGGCGCCTCGTCATCGGCTCAGTAATCTACTCCGCTGGTGCAAACTTCCGCTCCGCCGAGGACATAAGGATCAGTTGTGTGAGGATACTTGAAAGGGAATAACAACATTGGATGGAAGGCACGTGAAAACGGTTCAGAGTTCTTGCACTGAATGAACCACAGTTTTCATGCCATGGTTTACAATACGTCTATTGAGGGTTTAAAAAGGGTTCAAGCGCGGATTCAGAACTTGACCTTTTCTGAATTGGAAAAGTAGACCCAACAGGTGCTGAGACGCCATGTTGAACGTAACTGCTAGACTAATATGGATAGGAATGAAATTAGCCGAGAATGTCATCCCGAATTCATCCTACTACATGTACTTCTCAGAATTTGAACAGAAGGTCATAGGTAGCCTGAGTTTTGTTGATAGGACAGATTCGGGGTTCATTTTGTTTGGTAAAGGTCAGATTTTTATCCTCCGGGCGTGGAAACGATTGCACCAACACCATGGGCTGTGCAGCGACAAAGCCAGATGATGATGGTGAGGACTCGATGGGTCTGGTTATTCCGTGGCAATGTCCAGATAAATGTTCGCATGTCCGTGTGAAACGAGTACCAGTAAAACTGCAAGTTTTCTACTGGCTTTTGTCGCTGACGGGCCAGTCGGGTCATTTTGCAATCGCAGAAACGAATCGTTTTACATTGTTGCGGATCAGTTATTGTTCAAGAACCGCCGTGGGCGGTTATTCTGAACAGCTAGTACGTCGAGGAATGCCTTTGACATTGTTGAGGCGCCCTCTGAAAAGAACGTGACTGTTTCAGCGCTACTTGCTGAGCCAAACAAAACGCGGGTGGAATGTGTCTGGCTGAGCAGGTCAGTAATAATCTTGGGCCAGTAAACAAGAAATATACTGAAGCCACATCTGAACAGTAAAACTTTCTTTTGTTTCTTTTTTGGGTTTTTTGGTTTTCGTTTTTGTTTTGTTTTGGGGTTTTTTTGGTTTTTTGTGGTTTTTTTTTTGGGGGGGGGGTTGGTGTTTGTACATGGCATGTTTGCGCATGCCCCCGGCGCTTAGGTGTAATAAACCTTTCTGATATTGTTGTTGCATCATGGGGTACTGAATGACAAGCAATCCTTAACAGGGGAGAAATAGCCGTTGAATATCTCCTTCAAAGGGCACCAGGGTTGTGATTGGACAATGCCAGACGAATAAGCTGTAAGTCTTGGTTTTGATTGGCCAGTTCTAACTCGCTAACCTTCATGGATATTCCTGGTTGGATTCCCCAAGCCTTCCCTTTCTTGTCAATTTGGGGAATAACTTTACTTCAAATCTGCAATGCAAACACCGTGCAAAAAGAGGAGGCTTAGAGCGATCGTGTCGTGCAGTGGAAACCGATTAATGTTTTGCCGACACGCCATAGGATGTTGTGGGTAAATTACACTTCTTGTTTATAATCCAAATCCCGTGATGCATTGCGAATGTCGAAAAGGTTGTATCTGCCTTGTCTTTTTATTCAGCCTCTAACGATCCCCAGTCCGCTCAACAGAAGATGGAACGGCAAGAAGGAAGAAGTGGAACGAAGGCAAGTGAATAATGATTATACATGTAGGCTTAGTTACAAATGATACACACGTAGTAGGGTACCAGGAGGGATCCAGGATCTGTCGAACACCTCGGTTAAGGGCTAAGGCCAAACGTGTCTGGCTGAGGCCAGCAATAACACGTGAACCTTTGGAAGTCACTGGCTAGCGGCTACGGCTGGAAAAACTCTACATACAGACGCCCATGTCCGACAGTGGCGGCTGCAGCCAGATCCTCGCAAGCAGGGCTTCTTGAGTTTGGTTAAATTTACCAGCCACACGGGCGGGTGCCGCTAACTTAACGCTCAAAGTATATACTGCATGGGTGCCAGGCAAAATTGAGCAGTGGTTGGCAATAAACAGTCACTGATCGAACTTGATCACGCATGTCGTCCCCATGCTGGAGGACTATGACCTCGTATAACACAAAAATCCACCTGTGACATAGTTGGAATATTTACCATGTGACATTACTAGTACTACATGCGTTCAGTGTGGCATCCACATGGATCGGATCAGATAAGACCCATGCCAATGAAATGTAATCGTCCAATGTCGCCAGAGCTATACCTGTGAGTAATGGACCAATTTTGTAATGCAGAAGACAATGCGTTTTTTTCTACATATCAATTAAATAAAAAATGCCACGCTTTGGTGCTGACGAAAAACATTGTCGAAAAAAATCCTTCCTGGGATTTTGTCGCTAATAATGATACTCCAGGTATTCCGGTAACTGGCTCTTGATCAAATTATGCAGATATTGGCCTTTTTTTAAGAGAGAGGCTGTACTGTGATTACAAAAAAATATCACTTTTTCCAGGGTCAGAGGTTCGGTCAAAAGGGGGGGGGGTTGGAGAGCCAATCCCAAATGTTCGTCTCGTTAATAAAGTCCACGACATAGCCACTTCTTGCACAGGTGCTAGAGGAAGAGATACGTCTGGAAAACCCTAGCGGGTCTGGCGACGCGGTACCCTTCCAAGCTTGGATTGCAGATACCGTGTGGCCTTACGTCCTGACCAATGTGACAGCAAATGGACTGGCCAGCAAGGCGGGATTGAGGTAATCATAACTGATATAAATTGTGTTTCGCAGTGGATTCCGTAGATATAGCCCACTTGAAACAATGTGCGCCGGTTTGCAATGTTCGCTTTGTGGTTGGATCGGTATGACGGCATCGCTTTCCAATTCTACACACATCGTTTCCGATCAATCTGAGTTTGGGCTCAGCAACTCCTTTCACTGTGGACACTCTAGACCCGCCTCTGGAATAAAAACGTGAATGAATGAAATGTAATTCAAACAGTTTGAGTTCCACAGTTGTCAGAAAGACTGGCAAAACTACGATTTCCTATACATGTACTAGTCGCTGTGACGTATAATAGTGAAGTACTGGAAGTGCAAACAGCTTTGGTCGAAGTATGTCAAGGCGCTATCACAGCGAGTCGTTGACCTGGTTCCCTGCATTACACCGTGAGGTCATAATTATCCATTATTACCCTTCCAAGTTTCCAATGTTGGGAGTTTGAAGGAACGGGTTTCCTCCGCACATTCCAGTGGAAGTATCCAGAACTAGCTAGAACCTTCACTCATGTGTAAAGCTCAGAATGGCCAACGGGCTTTCTATCTTTTTCTATCTTTCTATCTTTCTATCTAGACTGGTCCAACCATTTTCCGAACCATATTTTTTTGATCAAACTTGCTAGGAGGGGATGAGTTTTTGCAACCTCGAACCACAAACATGTTTCTGACGTCAAAGTAACAACCAGGTAGTTTCCGACAACATGCTATCCTCACCTTTCACATTCTACAAGGACGCATTCGTTTTTGTCCGTTACATCCGTTTAACCAACAAAGTGCAGGGAAACGTTATTCAATAATTTTGGAGAGGACAGAAAGGCCGTCTGCTTATTTGACGTCTCTTTGATCCCGCGATGAACTCCAATTATCGGTTCTCGTTCCGCAGGAATAGATAATGACGTTACAAAGACGAATAGATCATGACATGGGCTCAATCGGAGACAAGAAAACGTCCAACAAATGACCAAAGCTGAAATATGACCGTTTCTGGTCCCTGTCAATAAAATCTAAATCCATTAAACTCATTTTCTAGGCGAGGCGACCAGCTCATCGGAATAAACGGCCTGAAGATCCAAAAATACAGTCTTCAGCACGTCTTATACCTTCTCTGCAAAGACATCGAGACAAAACTCTTACTGGTAAGAAAGCCTTTTCTTCAGCATAAATTTCCCCTGAGTACTCTTGGTGCATATTATGGCACTTTCAATGTTTGTGGGAGTCGAAATCGTGGGTCGGGCCGACCTCCTTTGCCATGAAGCACCCAAACATGTCCCCAAAGTTGCTCTGCGTATTGACAATTCACCTGAAAGTATGGAAATGGGGTCCTATGTCAAATCAGAGGGCTGGCTGGATACTCCAATGTTCGTAGCTGACTTTGCCAATCACACAATTCCATGCATTGGGCTGCAATTTGCCTCAGTTTTCTTTTAAAGAAGGATGATGTCACTTGTTTTATGAATAGGAGCTGAAGCGAACCGACAACGGAACCACCAAGTACGTATGGTCGTTCTTCGAACTCTCCATTCGAGGTACGTGTGTTGATTATCGGAGGCAGACTTCAGATGCTTGTTCAATGACCGATACGTCAGCAGATAGTTTCGCTTCCAGGACTGAAACTTCTCCGAGCAGTTGATGTCGATCAGGTTGTGAACACACGCAAAAATGAAATTGTGAAATTAATACATTTCTTATTCCTCTTTCGTATCACATATCAATTGTAAATTTGGCTCAATTTCAAATTCAACGGGGGCAAATCGCTTCCTGGGAGGGATCTTTGTCAAAATGCGACCGCTATTGAAACCACACCACGACTGGTTTCCCCCTCTTTTTTCCTCTCAGATGGCAACCCAGTAATTCAGGTGATACAATTACTCGAGACTGACATCGATGCCATACCCACGGAGATTTTGGAAGCTGCCGTCTCGTGGATTGGTGCTCCAGTGAACGCTTTCGACATCTACTTGCCTGATGAGAATCTCTATCTGGGCATTGACGGCGATAAGCTATCGTTTATGCAGTACGACAGGGACAAATGTAAGTGGTGCTTTCGTGGCCGTATGCGCCGGTCACGATCGTGGCCTTTAAAAAAAATGACCTACTACTCTCATGTACCGCTGAGAAAACATACACGGAGCCGGGCAAATACTAGCGATCCGACTGCTCTCGACACCAGACGTTAGTCCAAAATTCAGGCAAAGACTGTTGGACTCACGCAAAGACTGTTGGTGAACATTTTGACAAGTTTAACCTCATTCAGAGTCGGCCATTTTGAATTAAATGAGGTTAACTTTTTTGGCAACTTAAAGATAAGAATGAAAGCAATGTTTACAAATTGATTTCATTTACCATGTAAACCATGCATAGTGAAGTGACATATGAGCAATTTGTAGCTACCACTTCACAAAATAATCATCGTGTAATCGTGCAATGCTTTTACACATTTTGTGCACGCAATGGAACAGAAACTGTGATTCAGACTCTGTCCTATCCAGATGGAATTTGCCTATACTTATAGGGGGAGAATGAGATTTATAATACGTTTCTTAATGAAGTGATGACGCTAAATGAAGTGGCTAGTCGCAACTGGGTGCATATCAACAGGAGGTAGCAACAGTAAGGTGAAGGGATTCGATTGGGGAATGAGTTACCCCCATCTGTGTGATTCCTCGTCGCAGGCACGTTTTACAGATACAACTATGAAGGCGGCGACTCGTCCCAGGGCAACGTCGTAGCCTACACGCAACAGAACTTCAAGCCACCGCCGACTGACATTAAAAATACACCAGCCACAACGAACGGCACTTCAGCACCTGAGCTTTTCGTAGAGGTTAGTAGACTGGCGCACGAAAAGACGCAGGATGCAAAGGGAGACTTTGGAGCGGCGCCTCATAGTCTAGGACGTTATCCGATCGTTGGGTATTCAGCAGTGGTGTATAAATCCGTGTTGGAAATTTGGGGGATGGGGATAGGGGGTGTGGAAAGGTGGGGGTGACGTGCCTGTCCATGGAAAGTTGAAAAGTGGGAGGGAAACTACATTATACACTATGGGCCTATAGAGGGCGATGTTCATGATAAAGACGTACATCTTAATGTGTATCAGATTTATGCAGAATATTACATAAGAATGGCATATCTATGGCTTTATATTTTGCATAGTATGTATTAATATTATGTATTCAGTAATCTTGAGGCACTGTGTTACGTAGCGTTTTTCTACGAATTCTCTTCTAAGCATCGGCGGATCGGCCAACATGCTTACCATTAAAAGAGGCGATTCTAGATATTTATTTATTCTGTTTATCCCTACCGCCCTACTAAAATAGACTTCTGGATTTGCACGTAATACTACACCACTCTTCCCCTCTTACTGACAGGATTTTCCTTCTTCGATGGTGACGCAGTTGTCATTTCCACCTGATCCCCGTCTGTGGTACGAAAAATTAGATACTACCGGAGACCCGATAGGACGTACACTGCAAAGCATGACACAACAGGGTAAATTGTCCTATTAAACTCCGCGAATCTGTCCGATATGAATACGAGTATTTGTCTCCAATGGTGCATCAGTTTGCCACCGTCTTTTAGGCTAAATAAGCAAGATGTTTGCGACAGTGATCGCAGTGATCCAATATTCTCCAAACTATGAACACAATATGGTTGCAATGGGCAATGACGTTTTTTACTTTTTGGTACCCATTCGTAGAAGCACATCAGGTGCATACATCCATTTTGTATCCAAGCAACAGCACTGGATTGATGGGGGGGTAGTGTCGTAGCATTTGTGTCCTTGGTTCCACCCTAATGTTTCGGGCGTTTTGCAGCGCCTTAGTGATCACTCTTTCCTTCGTGTCTTTAAAATAAGGCTGGTACTTGGCTAGAGATCCGGAAAACAATGCAGCGATATTGTCCCAGGAAGCCATTCTGGTGAACGTCTTGCCACAAGAGCTCGACCGTATCCCTAGGAAGACAACTGGAGAAGCATCCTCTACTTAGTTTTATACCTAAAGCCTCCGTGGCATCCTCAAAACGGTTTCCTAATGAGGCTCGAAGAGGAAACAGTGGATCAGAATTCCTCTGTGTTTTAATAAATTCAAAGCCATATATAGCCGAATGCTCTCTGTAAAAGCGATCACACTTGTGGTCTGCGCCACCTTAATACACGCCACTTTTCCTATGCACAACTAGAATTAGTATTTACACTGCAGTAATGTCAATCCGTTAATTTGTAGTAACTGATCATATAAGGTACTCCATTATGATTACTATTTACTCCCCAAGTTAAAAAAAATTGTAATGGCTTCTAATGATTTTGTAACTATAGTTACCATTTGCATTGAAGTTCGCTCTCGATACAACCAAACACACCAATGTTGTTTATTCATTTTGGCAGCTATTCCACTCGAATTAATAGGTCTTGTTGACAAGATAGCCGCTTATGTGCTATCATTCAATGTCTTTTTGATGGGTACGCGTTCTCAAAGAAGTTGGTTAGGCAATCTTATGATTGGAATGGCCATCTTGCTTGCAGATTTTTATTTTTCATATTGGCCCAAGCGTTCTGGAGCAGTAATTGGAAAGTTGTGCTCACAAGAGCACAGTGGGGTTATTTGTCACTTGCCTCAACTGCGGCATCGACATTTGTATCCATCTTATTTATTTGAAACAAAATAATTTTTATTGCTCTCTGAAAGGTATCCCGTACATTTATAGGAAATCATCGCGGGCAGCCATGCATAGGTGTCAACTATTTTCCGTGAAGTGTACGCTCTGTAACGCTCACCATAATTGCGAAGTCAAAATGGAAAACAATTTTTAAAAATGGAAATTTTAAGGGAACATTTTAACTTACCCTTTCTTGCCTGCACAGTCGTACTCGTGGCCGCCGGCCAGTTTCCGGTAAATTTACGGTTTATTTTCAATTAACGATGGGCGACACGTAAAAACGGTGAATCGACCAGCTTTATTTTTTATGTGCGCTTTATTTCTCTGAAGTTTAGTTGTATTATACGAGAAATTTCCCAAAAGTGCGCCGCCAAGAGTTTGCAACGCAGTGGCCACTGTACGCAATGCGCGTTTGAATGGGTTGACCCATCCGGACGCGAAGACCTAGACCTAGCTCTGGACAACTGATTCAGATGCAACCTTAGAAAGTCGGAGCAAATAGGTCAGTCTCTGAAGGGAATCCTGGAAAGTGGCACCAGTGAACAATGTACTTCTTCAGCTGCAAAACTGGCGCTTCTGCTCCCACAAGCAAACTACTTTATCAACATCAAACTTGCATTCATGTCGTCCGGGGTAGAGACGGCCATAACTGCATTTTGCGGTTTTTTTTCGAAGGAAGCAAATCTGACTACCCCTTCAGAGTAGACTTACAAAACATACTTCTTGGAATGGCCGAAGATGGGTCAGCCGAGATTTCCGTGTTTAGGAATAGACCGACTAGCACAACACTGTTATTAGCTTCACAAACCTGCATGCTTCTCTATCAAAATTGTCATTGAACAGAGTGGTGTTGAATACAGAAACGCGTGGATTTACGTTTTCACGAACAAGTGGGCACAGTACACGTACTTATCGCGGCTCTAACTGATCACTGTGCTTGATATAATTATGAGTTCCATTGTATTTGAGGGTTTTAACTGCATAACGTTGTTGAAAGTTACTATTTCTTTTGCAGTTTTAGAACGAGAGAAACTTTACCTCTTTAGACGTTATTTCGAGACGTTTTTCTTCAAACTCCATGCATGTCTCTTCTTGTGAAAAACACAGACGTTATAATGTATTATTGTCGCTGCTGCTGCAACTGTGTAAAAGGCGAGGAAAACATGAAAACATATAGCGCTAGGAGTTTGGGAAAAGGTGCAACGTCTTAATTAAAGTCTAGGTTCTGCATTCATGAAAGTATAAGAAATGGAACTAAGGGTTTCTACTGGACTATTAGCATTTACTGGCTTCGTCGAAGGTGAAAATGCAGTATTTTCATATGCTTAAAATATTTTTGTTAATAAAGGCTGCAAGTCATGTATGTTATACGTTACCATTTACCTCGGATGTGTTGTACTTTTTGTAATGATGGTACCAGTCTGGTAAGTGATTGTTGACGAAGTCTGCAATGGACATAGGAAGGAAACGAGATCGGTTGAGTGAATCCCTGGAGTCGCCAGCTACCACTCCAACCGCCTCCAAGCATTTCCTGACACCTACGTCCTTGGCCTTGTAATCCCTCTAGCACCCTGGTAGTTATCCCCGGTAGTAGCAAACCATCCCAAACCGAGTCAAGGGTGGTTTCTTATCCCCCATAGTTTTCCCAAGTCAGAGCAATGAAGTTATACTTTCGTCTCAAATGCAAGGGTGGTTCATATCGGGGGAAAAAAATCAACATTACTGTCGTTTGAAATCGGGGATTGGGGAGGACGAGGCAGTAGGCAAACTTCATTTCAAGATGAAGTTTGGGCGGGATGAAAATTGTTGCAAGTGTGTGTACTACGGGGTTTTTTTAGTTGAAATCTGCGCAGCCGCAACAGCAATTGTTAGGGCGGCAGATTCTGTCCACCGTGCTTCGAGGCAAGCATCATTTCAGTATTCAGTTCGACAAAAACCAGTCTTTTTTCTCCGGCGCGTCTAGTGCTCTCGAAAGGTAAGCTGCTATTCAACGTAGCCTTCTATGGTCTGAAAACACCCGTAGAACTAAACAATACGCATTCACGTAAATATGGAAGGGCTGCGTGACACCGTGATCAGAATATCGACGAGAATATAATATCAAATCAGTGCTCTCTAATATGTGATTGCCGAGCTTTCGGTAGTACCTTCTTCAGGGAAAGCAGATTCAGTTCACACTGAAGTGAACTGAACTGAAACTGCTTGCCCTGAAGAAGGTACTCAGTTACCGAAAGCTCGGCAATCACATATTTCAGAGCACTGATTTGATATTATATTCTCGTCAATACTCATTCACGTTCACGTTTGCAGCGGGATTATTAGATCATGCAAGTCTGCGCTGCACTTCTTTGCAAGCTGTAAATATCTCCAGTTCTGACAACAATGAGTTGCGCGCCACGGGAAACCAATGAATTTGAAAAGGTTTTCCTGGGTTATTGCTTTGTCATATGGGATCAGACTGCAGCGGTAAATGACCCGATAGTAGGCCTATATTTACAATTTGTTATTTGCTATGGAGAAACAAGTACAAAAGATGTCGGATACCAGCTGTCATAAAATGACATTATTACCTACCTTGACTTATTGCTTGTTCACGAACCCTGTTGACCCCGGATCCAATTCGTCTGCGTTAACATGAATATGCATATCTTACAAGTCAGTGCCATTGACAACAGTCAAATGTTTATCAAACAATCCGGAAAAATTACTCTTTTGACATGCTGTTCAAAAATTCTGCTTCAGAGCTTCCTCACTCGCAGAAGTAATTATTCATGCTTTAATTAAAGTCATTCACATAACCCTTAATTACTGCAAATATCGAGGATTTTCAACAGGTAAGTCAACATTAATGATATTTTCAAGGTCATTCAGTTCATGTCATGTTTGGTAGAAAAGGTGTACCGGTAAGCCTGTCCTGGGAAACTTGCTCGTGAGGGGTGATTTTGTCAGTGCACTGGCGTATTGAAAATGGCTTGCAGTGAAATTTCGGCAACCTTATCCCTTTTTGTTTTACAACAGTCCTTCGATTGGAGCTCAGCGCGTGCGCACACAGCATATAGATAATTTATTCTATAACACCCAACCACAAATTCTGGATCTTGATTTGTCACATGGTATTAAGTTTCGCTGTCTTGCTGTCCACCGGCTGCTCGCCCAAACAAAAACAACCTGGAGTTTACAGGCTTGTCGTGTTTGCCTTGGGTGAGGATTGCAAAAAACATCTTTGCCAAGTTGGCCCATTTTGGGTGATATATGTCGATCTCACCGCGCCGTTGACACCTAGGGTAAGCTATATCTATGGCACAGACATTTTTTGCGCCGTTGGTGGGGGACGTGCGGCATTTCTTTCTGATTGTGTGCGCTGAAAGCGTGCATGCGCTCAGTTGAAAAAGTCCCCTCAGGGTGTCCATGAATCTCTGCCGGCAAGGGTGCACTTCGACTCCGCTTGAAAAGAACTTCAATTTACTATCAAAATGTTGATGTATTAAAAAAGAACATACACTTATAGGTCAAACTTGCTTCGACCTTTTAAGGATTTATTTATTTATATCATGTGGTTTCAGACAGATTTTCATCCTTCGAGCGCAGAAACGACTGTACCATCACCATGGGCTGTACACCGGGAAGATTAAATAATTCTGGTGAGGAATAGACGGGTGTAGTTATTCTGTAATACCGTCAGCTTTAACATTCGCTTATTCTTATGATGTGCGTACCAATGGGACGGTAACATTCTACTGACTTTTTTCATTGGTACATTAAATACTGTATGTGTCAATTCAGACGGGCCTGTCAGCGTTCAAGTCGCAGTAACAGGGGTCATTTACGTACACTTTTGCTAATCTCCTACTATTCTGAACAGTTTATCTGCCTACGGATTTGTTGAGGCACCCCAAGGAGAGAACAGCACTCAGAACGGCATTTTCTGGGGGGTTTTAAGTGCATCATGGGCTTGGAGATGCATACCCTTACACAAGGGGGCTATACACGTGGAATTATGGTAATTTGTGCGCATGCGTTAGTACATAATAAGTAAATTTTGTTTGTGAAAAGATCAATGCAAGATTTCAAAAACAAGACGTGCCTCGTGTCATTGTTTATAACAGGGCGAACACCGGCTTCGCTGCACGGTTCAATGAACGCGTACGTTCGCGCAAAAAATCGCATCGCACAGGATGTCTTGCACCCTGAGTTCAAGCAATTTGGAAATGTACATTAATATATCATTTAATGGGCAAATCAAGAGGAAACGTCTCAGGATTGATTTTTCAGCAACTTTGGAAGAATGAAAGATCGTTAAACAACTTTATTGCAGTATGAAATTTAATGAAGTCATCATGCTGTCGACCTTGTAGGCACACCTTAGGAACAGGAAAGTTGTTCATCTACCAGCTTCCAAGTTATGGATACCCGGCACGGTATGCGGTATAAGGGGAACCCTCCTAATGTTATGCACAAGCTGTGGCTACTGCATGTGCCTATTGCACCCCCCTCAGATATCTGCAAGAAATTCCAACGATTCCACTAACACAAAAGAAGACACAATAGAGGGGGCCCCCCTTTGCAGCATATCTTGCATCATATAAAGTTATGCGTTGCACAATGGTAAAAAACATGACCAGGGGAATCATTCTTCGAGAAAAAATAAGCATGAGAAAGATGGAATTGTAAATTTTAAAAAAAAGGGATTGGCTTGAGCTAAACCATATAATAAAAGCTTGATTGAAAAGTAAATGCCCTAAAAGGGCTCTAGTAACTATGAACCACAAAGTAACGTGATTGGTCAAGGTTAGAATTTTGATTTTGACTGGCAAGTACTACCTTCTTTGAACAACTCTATTTCAATTTCAAATACAAACAGTGAATAGGAGGGTTTGATCGCTAAAAAGTCCAATCCTATGATGTATTGCGAAAGGTTTATTGTGTTGTCTTGTCTTTTTTCAGCTTCAAATACCCATCAGATTACCCTACAAGAAACGGAACAGGTAGGCGGATGAGAGAAAAAAGCAAAACGAACAAATAAGGCAAGCGAATCATTACGTAGTACAAGCACAGATAGTATAACGCCGCGCGGCGGCGCTATACTATCTTTTTTGGTACAAGTGTTGGGGAAACCAACGAGTGGAACACACTGACAGCGCGCGGGTACGTTCACGAGGTACTTGAAGAGAGGGCTGCGTCCGAAACTTGGATTCTGGTTCGGGAAGCAAGAACACACATCTTTTTGAATTTTGGAGTAAAACAATTAAAAAAATAATAACAATTCTAAGGATCTGGTCAGAATGTACTCTTGATTATTCCGTTGGCTCTCGGCAGAAGGATGACTGACATAATCGATTCAATTAGCCTTACTTCATCCCACAATAAACCTTACTGCACTGCATCTTGTACCCAAAGCTAGGCGATACCTGCAACAAATCTTCGAAAGTTCAATATGTATGGAAGCGTGGATGATAGGGCAAATTATCCTTGGACTCCGATGTGTTGTTCCAAAATGTAGAAATAGAGTCACCTTTATGACATTTCGAAAACATCGAAATGAGGTCGCACCGGTAATTGCAGCAAAATAGTCAGGCTCCTCTCCAATTCAGAGTATTCGAAAAATCGGATGGATTTGGGGGACTCCATCCAAAATGGCCATCTCGCGTATAAAGCTGTGACCGTTAATCCGTAGGGAAGTGACATACTTTTGGAAAACCCGAATGGGTCGGGTGACGCGGTAAACCTCCAAGCCCAGATAGCAGATGGCGTTGGACATTACACCCTGACGAGAGTGAGAGCAGATGGACTGGCCTTCAAGGCGGGATTGAGGTGAGCATAACTTATACCAATAGTAGGTTTACATTGCATTTCTTATTCTTAATTAAACACTAGATGACACTTTGTCCTGTATTGCAGCATCGCTCTTAGGTCTATGAATATCATTTCTAACCGAACTATCTTTGAGCTCCACATTGCCATTTCAAGAAAAACAATCCCTTTTTAACTGTGGATATCTAAACCTGCCTTTTGAAAGAAATCGTAGAAAGAATAACAAGTAACTGAATTTTATGTACCATGCACGTTGATCACCGACCTGGTTCCCGCTTGCATCAGTACGTAGTGAAATTATCTCCAACCCTTCTACAAACGCGTCGATTTTTTTTTACTATGGGGATGACAGGATCAAGAACCAGTCCAGAGTTACACTTGTCTGAACGGCTCAGAATGGCCAATTAACGAGCTGAAATTTTCGTTAGGGAGTCTAGTGGACCCGTCCAGCCGTTGCCGATTTGCACATGTCCAGTCATACCCTTTCTGATCGAACATCTGTGGGCGTGTTTTCACAGCCCCTTACCACAAACGTGCCGTCAAAGCAGTAACCAGGGCAATGTTGGCAAGATGGCGCCACTACAAACAAATATCGGAAAGCCTCCAACAACTGCTGCTCTCTTCGACTAGAGGGAACTTACCAGAAGAAACATAATTCATTTTTCTTGGAGACGAAAGAAACATCGTCTGCTTCCTTTCCACCATTTTGAACCGGCGCAGAACCAACTCCAACCTTTCGTTGTCTTCTGCAAAAACAATGATGTGACACAGGCATGGCGCAACCGAAGTCCTTAAAACACCAAATTATTGACCAAAGCAAAAACATGACAACATTTGCTCGCGGTCACAAAATGACGCCCCTGATTATATCGAAACCATTAAACTCATTTTCCAGGTCAGACGACCAGCTCATAGGAATAAACGGCAAAACCATCGAAAAGTATAGCCTTCAGTACGTCCTACAATTTCTCCGTGAAGGCATCCAGTCAAAACTCCTGCTGGTAAGGAGGCCCTTTTGTTTTAAAAGAAATTTCTCGTGTGTATTCTTAATGCATGTTAATTGGCACGTTCAGTGTTCGTGAGAGTCTACTGCAGTGTACCTGAAATACCATTATGGCGCCGGCCTCGCTAAGGCACTCAACATTTTTGGCAACATTACTCTTGTATGAGACAATTTTTGCCTAAGAGTGGATAGGAAAGTGCCCAGCTACTTTTCATGTTAAATGGACCTGCTGGCTGAGAGTGGCACCATGGCTGGATTGTCCAATATTTATTGTGCCTTAGGGCCTCACAGAAAAAAGAAGCTCGGCAAGAAATCCGAGAGACTACGAAATTCCTACATTCCTCCTTAGAATACAAACAGCTACGTTTTAACATCTTCTTCTTTATTTGGAGAGCTTCAGGCTGGCTAACACAAAGCTTAGTGGAGGCACATACAGTTTTAAATTAAATCTAAGGTTCGCAGCCTTTAAATACTAGAACTGTAAACTTGGTCACGGTGCCTGGAGTAAATCAAAACCTACGAAGCACAGATGCCGTGGGCCTTTGGTACCTAATTGGGCACCATATATGGTGTCTTGGACCTATGGCACATAATTGGGTCTATTCTGCCTGCTAGGGCATGTGCTACTCAATTGTACCTATGGTGCCCAGGGCCTATTGTGCCTGAGGCTTATGATACTTGAGGAATATGGTATGAAAGCTTATTGTGGTTCCAGTTCTGTTTCTGGTGGGATACTGCATAATCTCTTCAGCAGGGACGTAACATGTAGGCGCAAGGTGACTAGGCAGCCCTATGGTACCTGAAGCCTATGGTGCTAAGTCCCGGAGAAAAACCTAACCCTTCCTTGGCTGACATGATGGCAAGGTAGTTGTTGGGTACAGTCAATATGGCGAATATCAAACGCCAGTTCAGGGTTGACATTTTACTTATCAAAGAGGAAAAGCAACTGTAATGGTCCAAAATGTTTAATGGCATACACTGTATGGGATCGATTCTAGGCGTGAGGCATAACCAGACTTTCGGTTATGCATGAGGGGGATTTTCTCTGTAACGACAATTGTCTAAATCTTCTTCCTTGGAACAATCATTTCCTCTCCGAGAGAAGTTCCCAAGAGCTGTGTCTAAAGTGTTAGTCTTTCAGTTAAAATTGGCACCGTGCGCCCATCCCCTCCACCTGTGTGCAAGTACTAATTCCCTATCCCGCCCTCCCGCGCTGAATATACCAACGCTCTTAGAGCATTTTGCCAATTTACGCAATTCCGTAGAAACGGACACGAATTTCGTCAGTTTCTAAGAAAGTTGATGATGTCACTTTTTACCAACAGGAGCTGAAGCGAAGCCACAGCGGTTGTACCAAATACGTATGGTCGTTCTTCGAACTCTCCGTCCAAGGTACATGTATTGACTATCGCATTCGGGCCTCGGGTGATTGGTTGCACAACATACGACACACAGTTTCAATTCAATTACAAATGTATTACCAATCGTATATTAATTGCGATTTCAAGTTAGACGCAAGTGAACTCGCTTATTAATATGCTCTTTGTCGACATGTGGCAATATACGCTGAACGACATGGCATTTGGCAAATGAAAATGGGATGGCAATACCGGCGATTCACAATAGCGCGCCTTCAAGAGTTTGCAACGCGTTGGCCAATCACAATGCGCGAAATGTGTTGACCCAACGCAGGTTTGGAAAGGGTCTAAAGATTTCGCACACTGTGATTGACCAACGCGTTGCAAACTATTGGAGGCGCACTTTTGTGATTCGCATGTATTTGGAGGAAAAAAAACAGCGATTTTGGGCGGACGGAGTTGACCCCTCAAAAACTAAGGGAGGTTGAGCTTAAGAAATGAAATAGTTAATTGATTATCTAAATGTAGGCCCCATTTATCTTTCCGCTATCTCAGAATGAATTTGACTCACCATTCTGATTGCCAAAACGGGACCTCGAACAGCGGCATATTATTAACGTTCACATGCCAATTTCCATGACAAATAGGCTGGTGCAGCGTCATCTAGTACGCAATACCAGGTCCAGCACCTCCCTCACTATCATGTGAAGGGATCTTACGGAGTAATTAAACCTCAAAACAAACAAGCAACAACATGGTGACTGATGTCTCTCCTTTTTTCCCCTCTCAGAGGGAAACCCAGCAATTGAGGTGATTAGCCTACTCGAGACTGATATCGATGTCATACCCACGAATATTTTGGATGCTACCATCTCGTGGACTGGTGCGCCAGTGAACGCTTTTGATATCTACTTGCCTGACGAAAAACTCTACCTGGGCATTGACGACGGAAGAGTATCGTTTATGACGTATGACAAGAAAAAGTGTAAGCTGTAAATCTGTAGCCGTAGAGGTGACGACCGTGGTCTTGGGAATTTTAGCGGTCTCATCCGTGCACGACTTCGTTAACGAATACGCAGAGCTTTACAAATATTACACGTGACAGAACCACCCGACCTGACTAAACCCATCACTGTTAGTAAACGAGGCCTTTTCACCAATACGCCAATATTTGGAACGTGGAGGTAACGTGGTACCAGTGTGACGCTCATCACAGAGGCTCAAGTCACGAGTCGAAGTGAGCGTTATTTCCCTTAAATGAAACCAACTTCACCTGCTGCATATTCGAGCAGATAATGAAACCAACGTGATCTTTTCCATCAGGAAAGAGCCCGAAAAACTAAGAGGAAAACAATACCCACTGGGCTTTGAGCCACGGATACCAACAAGACTAGTTGTTTCTCTTTCCGCTTTGTTCAAGATGCTGAAAGTGATACATGATGAGGCTGAAAGAGGTAAAAACGGCCACGGTTAGAGCGTTGTCATACTGACATCACTTGGGGTCTTGGATAAAAAGAGAGAGAAAAGAAAGTACCGTGGGGCTGTAGTTTGCTTAATTTGTGTAGTGTGTAGGAAAAGGCTTCGTCATGTTGGTGCCCGTGTCTTGAAAATCTCATTCATTCATAGCGGTAGGATCGGGTGAGCGGAAACCTGTTGCGAACACGTGCCTGAGACTCTTTGCCGCGTTCGGATACAGTTTGGGCATGAGGGGAAAAAAACATTCCGCAAGCGAAATCATTATACAAACAGATATTGAGTCAAATAAATTAGCTGGCCGCGACCGGACGCTTGGTAACAGAAGGTTTCTGATCTGAGAATGAGATCTGATTCCTCGTTGCAGGTACGTTTTACAGATACAACTATGACGGAGGCGACTCGTCCCAGGGCAACGTCGTAGCTTACACGCAACAGAACTTTAAGCCACCGCCGAGTATGAACAGAAATACACCGGCTGCAAAAAAGGACCGGGCAAAGCCGGAAGTTGACACAATGGTTAGTACACCCTTAGTAACCTGTGCACAAATTACACTCGGGGTACGAAAAATTGGCAAAATGGAACTCAAATAGTCCTCACGTGAACCTGTTTGCGCAACGTTGGAGAATATTTGGTAGAGTTTCCTATAAAAAAAGAATCTCAAAACCTCACAGAATATTAAAAAGCATGTCTGGGCGAGGTATTACGTATGGCATCAGTAAAACGAAAATTAGACATGCCGTCTGAGGAATAGTGGATCTTTTTTATTCGACTAATATGGATGTACTAATCACTGACATTGGGAGCAGACGGGCAATTGCCACCTCCCTTAAAAAGAGGCAGATTTGTTTTCCTTAGAAACAGAGCAATATAATTGGAAACCATTTTCATCTTCCCATTCCCCAAAGCCCACTTTAAGCTCCACACCGGAAAATAGCCAATCAAAGCAACAGAAATAAATCTCCAATGTTTTTGCCCCTCCACATAAAGTTGCCACCAAGCAAAATTGTCCTTTTCGATCCGCCTTTGATACTAAGCCACTGTTCCCCTCTTACTGGCAGCATTTCCCTACTTCGATGGTGACGCAGTGGTCATTTCCACCCGATCCCCGTCTGTGGTACGAAAAAATAGCTCCTACGGGAGACCAGAGAGGACGTACACTGGAAAGCATGACACAACAGGGTAAATTTCCCCACTTCCACGAATCGGTTTTTAATACCTTAGTACACGCATGTCTGAAACTGTGCAGAAGCGAATCCGGGAAGATGGTAGCAACTTTGAGGAAGTTTCAGTCATCCAATCGGCCAAATGTGGACACAGCATGGTTGCTGCGAGCAACGATGTTTTCCATCTTCCGGTATCCTTTCTTAGCAGTGCTGGTGAATGCATTCATGGGGCGGTACCATTGTAACTGTGTCCCTGTGTTGACTTCACTGCTCTTGTTTTCCTTCATGTCTTTAAATGTAGGTTGGTATTTGGCTAAAAGTCCGACGGACAACACTGCAATTTTGTCCGAACTGCCCGCAGTGCTGGGCATTTTGCCACATGAGGTCCGAGTCGGTCCAACGAAGACAACCGGAGCCGGAGAAGCATGATCATCTTACTCGAATGGCTAAATCCTCTGTCGCATCTGGAAAACGGTTTCACAACAATTTTCTAAGACGGAAAGGCAGATCGAAATTCCTGTGTTATAACACGTATTTAATGACATATTGCCGGACGGTTGTCACAGCTGACATAAGTACTCTCTTTAAGAGCGTTCATTCCAACGCTGGTCTGCACATTTTGGTTTCACGCCAACTTTCGTATTTTGTATTACATTACAGTAATGCCAACCCATAAATTTACAGAAAATGAAGCATATGATGTACCGGTAAGCCTTTTTTGTATAATATCCACACCGGACGTTTGAAAAATTCGTAATTGCTTCTAAAAATTCTGTGTTACTAGCAAGCCTTCTTTGCAATGAATTTCGTTCTCACCTGCTTCATTCTGGTAGCTATAGACCACTTGCTTCAATGAGCCGAATTGACTATTTGAGTGGACTCACTGAATTCTGTTTTGATCAGCACGCACTTTCAACAACGACGACAGGCACATTTATGAATGGAGGGATCACTTTGCCTTCACATTTTTGGTTTCTTTTTATTTTGACAAAAAGGTTCTCCTTCCGCAATTTAGAATCATTCACCAGAGGAGAGTGAGGTTAATTTGTCATTTGACTCAACAGCGGCATCGCCATTTATACACATCTTAAGATCTGGAAACAAAACAATTTTACAGCACTGTCAAATATACATCCCGTGCGTTTAGGCAGATCACCGGGCAGCTATGCATGAAAGTTGAAGCCTTCCAATAAAATGCACGGTCACTGTAATGAAAAACAAAATTCTACGGGAAACCGACAGATTTGCTCTTATTTGCAAGCACAGTCGTGCCCAAAGCAATGAACGGTTTCTTTTATAAAGATGTACAAATTATGAAAAAAATAATTGGCTTACTTAACTTTCAATCTATATTCATAAAGTTTCGTTTGTTTTTTTTATAATTGTGGAATTTATTACACGAGAATCGTCTGGTTGCTTCTCAGTTTGTATCTACGCTGTTGACTGTCGTTAGCCGAGCGTAGATGGTAGATGACAAAGTCCAAGAAGTGCATGGTTTGGGGCGTCACGTAATGACAGGAGATAAGATAGTCGGAGCAACAGCTCAATCCCTGCAAAGAATCATGGGAAACGGCATATAAAGTAAACGTGTGTAATTGGGTGTGTTATATTCGCTGCTACTACGCCGCTGTACATAGGCCAAGAAAAAATCAAATTGTTTGTTTGTTGTCGGGGCTTTGAGAAAAAGCTCTGTGGTTTTAATTTTTATAAATAGGCTCTGCATTCGTAAAATTGTATGAATTTAGACTTAAGGATTTCTGCCATTGCCGCAAATGGTGGGCTGTTAGTTTTCACCGGCTGTGTTGGAGGTCAAAAAAAGGTATTTTTTAAGCGTCCAAGATGATTTGAATAATAGCCATAAATCTCGTACGTTGTACGTTACCATTTACCTCGGATGTGCGGTACTTTTTGTAATGATGGTACCAGTTTGGTAAGTGATTGTTGACGAAGTCTGCAATGGACATAGGAAGGAAGCGAGATCGGTTGAGCGAATCCCTGGAATCGCCAGCTACCACTCCCACCGCCTCCAAGCATTTCCCGACCCCTACGTCTTCAGCCGTGTAGTCCGTCTTACACCGGTAGTTATCCCCCTTTGCGAACCGTCCAAGGGCCTCCCTGCTCAGTACGTAGCCTGCTCCGCCGCTCATGTACCCCTGCTTGGTGAACATCTTGAAGTTGTGCCCGTAATACAGCGGCGCGCTGCTGTTTTTATCCCGCAGGAAGTAGCGCAGGTTCTCTACGATGACGTAGGTGTCGTCGTCGGCCTTCATGAACCACTCGGCCTCCTGGGAGTGGTGCTCGTAGACGTATTTCAAGGCGGCCCGGGTCTTGTTCCACAGGCTGTTGCGGCCCTCTGCCACGTTTAGGGCTACAGCGGGGAACGACGGGTCCGCCTGGGAGCTCATGTAGAGTGTGACGTCACAGCGCGGGCCCCAAGTCTCTTTAATGTGCGCGGCCTTGCTGTGCAAAGTGGAAGGTGATGTCAAAATCCAGCAAAGAACTTTGACTTTGGATATCTCCATAGAATTGGCAGAAGATGCCAACTTTAAAGATCCTATGAAAAAAGAAGCAACAAGTTAGTGTTACAGATGTACCTATATATCGGCTCCGAGAGAAACAAAAGAGGGCGTGTTTTTTGGGGGGGGTGGGTATTCACGGCATAGGCGCGCCATGAGGCGCGGAGGTGTATGCATGTTTGACGCGGAGCACGCCGACTACACATAACTAATTTACTGATTGAGTTTTGCAGTTTGGGTTATTATTCTGGCCTGTCTACGCTACGATGCTCTGGGAATGATTATTTTGCTTGTGTACCGACGGCTAGCGATAGCCTCCCAGCTGTGACGTAAAGCGCGATTTACTGATAATTATGGGGAAACACTCATAAAATGACAACCATCCGCGTACTTTAGATGCATGATTGTCTCCGGACACGATGCTTAACCTGTCTCTTCCCCGAGGCACTGATTTAAACCTCGTGTTTTAATTTTACACTATATTCATGTGCACAGAATTACGAAACAGAAATTATATGGAATCCCAATGCTCGAGAGAGACTGGGGACATGTAGCAAAAGCAGCTGTCTATAGTTATTTATAATCGAAAAAAGAAAGAATTGTAAATTACACGACTGAAATACAGGATGTCAACAGCTTCAGAGGCCCGTTTGCAAAGGGGAAAATAAATTCTATAGCAGCACCATCCGTCTGACTTCTGCTTTGTTGATAAGCAATGACCGTGACGCCTTTTACTGCATTTCAGAGCCAGTCGACCGAATCCAATTCATATTTTCATGGACGGTGGAAGAATGCCACAGCAAACCTGGAGTCAAAACAAGAACCACGGTGCAGATGGTCCAGAATACGTATCTACCAATCAGTCCAAGGAGGGTGTCCCGAGAAATTATTCTTTGAAAATTATATTTCACCCATGCTAGTTAGAAAAAAGACACAACTTACAGTTTGAAACGAGCATTGAAGGAAAATTCCCCCAACTAATACAATCTAAACGCACTTGCACCTACGAAGCTCCTTTTTGTACAATCTTTGGCAAATCGTGTAATTAAGTCCATTTACCACACATTATGCGTTATTTTATGAACTGTATTGAAACGGTGCAAAATCTTTTATTTTCATCTGAAGAATAACGGGATGGTTGCCTAGTTGTTTATGATTTCAATACTCCCTGTTAGTCGTTGGAGAAATTAGATATAGGTTGTTATTATCACTTTTCTGAATTTGATACGGAAAGTCAAATTAAGTGGTCGTCGGTCACTTGCCCCCAGTCGGCCGGCCATACCCTAAAATATGGCAAGAAAAAAGTGTACATAGCTTTTTTTGTTCAAAGCTAGCAACCATGCTAGAAAGTACTGCCGGTACTATGGTCTAAGGTTTCAGAGTGCCAAAATCGTCCTTGACCTTGAAGGTCAAAAGTTGAGGTCAAAAGGTCAAATGAGGTCAAATTTTCAGGGTTCTCCAACTTGATCTATATTCTCGATGGGCAGACCAAGAAGTAGTGATTGGGCTAAGTCATCGCGACATGGATCTGAGGATTTAGAATGACGATCTTTCGTCTTTTTTACCCGCCGTTCAAATTCCATATAGCATTGTTTGCGGTACTTCCCTTCAGCAGCTCCCAGGTCGACAACTTGAGCCATCCTCACTGACATAACATAGTCATCTTTGGAGTATCTCTTTCGACTTTCATTGTCATAACATTGTGCAGCTTATTTTTCCTGGCTTTTGGCAGAACATGCAAAAATTACAATCAACGGTGAATCGACTCCTTTTGGGGGCATTAAGCTGGTATCTGGACAATAAGCTTTCTGGTCATTCCCTTCGGTTGTCATCTGCCTTCTTTTACTATCTTGACAAACGGGTTTCTGAAGCAAAGTTCATATAGCAAGTCTTGCGCCATTTCATTTCTAACCTTGATTAGTCGTCATCAGATATAATCCTCAGTCTGTTCAAAACTGTCAGCCTGGAACACCGATCCCGAAGCTGTTTCCTCTCAGCCAACGCGCATCGTATCCGTCATCAAAACTCTGTCACAGTGCCCTTTGTCCTCCTGGCAAACTATACATCTTGAATAATCCAGCGTGCCGCAAACATCCCGCCTGGTGGTGGTTATAGAAGCATGACCACAAAGCACTCCACAATACCATTATTGGTAAACTGAAATATCTTTTTTGTCAATATTTCATTGAAATAGTGGCTTCTCATTGAAATATAAGTAGAACGAAATAAGGTATAAAAATTGACGTCATTTGACCTTTGACCTCAATTTTGGTCAAAGATCATTGTGGCAACTGGGTGAATCTAACTGTATTGATACATTTTAGTATGACTGTTACCTTTGAAAATAAGTAAGGCAGTTAACACGAATGTTTACACGTGTTTTGCGTGAGATCGTGCATTCAGGAGTAATTTGCAATTCTTTTCATGAATTCTTTGATATTTTACTATTATTTCTTCCAATCAAACCTTTGTAATTTGGTTATTTGTCACAATTTTGAGACAAACTTTACCTTATTTGAAAATGGGGACCCCTAAAAATTTGACCTCATTTGACCTTTTGACTTCAATTTTTGACTTTCAAGGTCAAGTGCCATTTTGGCAACCAGGTGTTTCTGAAGCCTTACACCATCATATTGATACGTTCTAGCATGGTTGCCAGCTTTGAACAAAAAAATGCAATCAGGGTTTTTTCATACTATTGTGCGGTTACTGCATGCTTACAGAGCTCTAGTTTGCGAATGCGTCTATGCTCAACGCGTCATTTTTGATAGCGGTTGGAACCGTGTGTTCAAGTTGTCATATTCTGATCCTTGCACTCAGATCCAATCTGAATCACCCCATCCCCATGGGCCCACTCATCGAATTCACGCTACAGTCCCGCATAGATTTACCACAAAAAGAAAGTCCTCATCAATTCTATTTTCTCTTCAAGACCCACCAAATACACGCACGAATTGTCTTCCTACAGACATGTTTGAGTTAAAGCAAACCGGGTTTGCCTTAAGGGACCACAAGAGAAACACTCGTGAAAATTTAATCGCAGAGTTAATTTGGTTTCGCACCCGTGGGTAGGTGGAGCGTGGCGAGACGTGACCGGAACTAAGATGAACTTGAGAGGAAACGAAGCAGCCGTCCCACCTCCAATTTCTTCACAATAACCGAGAATCGCATATGCAAGAGGTTCGTGCCGTGCTTAAATTGGGGAGGGGATGTGTTGAAAACGTTGACATTGTAACAACTCGCAGTTTTGAAGAAAAGTATCCAAGACAAGTGGAGTCACCATTTCCAAGACGCCAAAGCTCAAAACTGTACGCTATAAGTCTTCTTGGACAACGTGTAGGCATATACCACCCCGAGGATTTTGGAGGATTGAGGTGGATTAGGATTAGAGTTTGGAACTCAACTCGAAAAAAAAAATTATATTTCCCAACACTGTGCTCAAGGGGCGCAAACAATTATGAAGCACTTGGCAGCGACAGTTCAGAGCTAAAACCTGTTAGAAACTTCTTTTCCCGTCTCACACTCTGACGTTGGAAATACTCTCAATTCCAATACACCTCGTTTTATTACAATCATATCCCGCCTGCATTTCCCGCTCAATTACCTTGTGTCTGTTCATCGCCCCAACGCAACCCTTTAGTTTTTAAATTTGAATTTCATAGTCCTTGATATACCAAATTCAACCTGAGCCAGGTAAAAGCTTGAGCTTGCTGCAAACATGTCTCTCCCGTTTTGAGGGTAAACATAAGCGTCCTATGTACCTAGAGCAAACAAAAGTGAAATTTCTTCATATTCCCCCAAACTTGAGCGTCCTCTATGTAACCACATAGACCACTAGCCTGTAACCTATAATATCTGATATGCTAAACTGAAATGTATTGATGCGGTTGCTTTGTTTCGTAAATAATGCTACACTTTATTTTTGTGCAATGGATTTTTCAAAATGTAAGCTTTAGTATTAAAAGAACCAAGGCTATGCACAGATGCAGGACCTAAAATCAATAGAACGCATTGTCATTCTATATTGTGTAGCCTAGTACTAATGATGGTGGTTCTGTTATTATTTTGAGACAATCTCAAATATCAATCAATACCTGTCGCTGCTGTGTGGATAACGAGTGTGAAACCAAAGGCAGCATAGCCTCTATTTTTCCCAATGTTTCAGTCAACTTTAAATTGAGAATTTTGCTGCAGAGGCTGGTTCGACCCAACGATTCCTCCGTGTTTACGGTGTTGGAACGGGAAACGCGGCAATCAAGGGCAAAAAAAAACTTTTTCTCCAAGCAACCGGTAAGCCCGATAGGGAATTCAACATTTAGCAAAACATTGGATTTTTGCCATAAACAAAAAAAAAATCGAGAACACAGATAAGGGTTTCATACCTGCGTGTCCCCTTAACTTTAAGAAACAGCCTGCCCTCTGACAGGGAAATTATTAAATCCAGCACACTCAGTGGTGTTCTTTGAGGCTCTATTTCCACTCACCGCTGCCAGTTATTTCGCAGAGAATTAATTTTGGATTTAGACGAAGAAAACTACTTGTTCGCCGGTGTTGAAGATTGATGTAAAAATGGCGATTTGTAAATTGTGAACACACAAAAACTGCCCAATTTTGTTTTTGTCTGTCCCCGGGGAAGGTGGCTATAGGAGACCTTCCATGGGGAAAAAATAAAGAAATTGCAAACAAACCATCATGCCATCAATTGAATTTAAATTACTCATAGTGGTTGGTTGGTTGGCTGGTTTGCTGGTGTCTGATCTGTCTTCAAGAGGGCGGTCAAGAGGGGTGGTGGGTTTTGTTTTTTTTATGACGACCAAAGTGAAATGCTCGAAACGTCGGTAACACCTTCAGTGCATGCATGGATCGCTGTTTAAATGAAACAACAACCACGCAACCACATTTCTTCAACAGAAAACTGATGGTATTTTATAATAACTGTATCTTCACTCACAAGTTATAGCTGCTTTGGGGTTGGGCTTTTCACTATTGAAGCTATTTCTCCCTTGAATGAAATGACTCACCCAGACTGGGCTTCCTTCTCGAGAGACTTTTCTCCGCGCTGGGCTGGCTCGTGTGACTGCCATTTTTGATGTTCACGGGAGGCGCTTCGGGCGATGTTCTCCGCCAGGGGAGAAACTGAAACACGTCCATTACCGAGGACTTGGTGCGCCTACCCAAAGGGTAAAGTGTCTGGCTAAACGTGATGGTGAGGATGTACAATACCAAGATGGTGAAGAATAGAACTGGGGCCATGCAGCGAAGTGAGCGACGTCGAAACATTTTCAGAGGAACTCCTATAGAGGCGTTTAGCATCGATCTGCGCACTTCCGCGTTGAAAACGAGGCTGTCAGCTTCACACGCACATCGACAACGGCGCGGCGAGATATACACAACGGTGTATGCACTGTCAGCCACAAATTGACGCTGTGCCTACTGCTCACATTAGTCGTATTACGATCTTACGATCGAAAGCAAGGAGTCAAGACACAAAATGCATGAAGTTATATCAACTTCAGACTTTTCAGGTGGAAACTTTTGGTGAAAGAGTCTTTCAGGATGACTCGAATGCCGCTTAATTGAGAGCTGATGTGATCCTAGGCCCATTGTTACTTGTATAAAGTTACTCCCTGGCCCGAGGAAACCTTAAAAAAAACACCTCGACTTTGACTTTCTAAATAGACCGTTAAGTCAGATTGCTTTTTTTTTGATGCATTAATTTGTTGCGCTCGTCATTAGAGGGCACTGTTCAATGGGCACGTTATCTGGAAATTTCGGCTCACACTTTTGTTGGGAGTCGTCATATTTTTGGTTTCAATGCACACGTCATCCCAAATAGTGGGCCAGCCAAAATGGAATATTATACTTGGGACGGCATATTTTGGTACTAGCTGGCAGTTATGGTAGATCAACCAGTCACAGGATGTGGAAGAAAATGCGAGTGGATGCCACCCTTGATTAAAGGTCGATTTGAGGTCAAAGTAGTTAAAATGCATATTAATTGCGGTTGACTTTTATGTGCTCGCGCCTAATTTTGAGTCAAAGGAAAACTGAGTTGAATGACAGGACAGTTACCTGGGATCTGTGATTAGGATGGGAAGAAATTATGGGTGGGTGGCAGCTTTCATTATGACCCAAAGGTCGATTTGAGGTCAAAGGTCAAGTCAGGTAGGGATGCATATTTTGAGGAATTTTTAAGCTTATGAGCCCCATTCTGTGTATGCCTTTTCAAAGAAAAACTTAGTAAGAGATTTACTAGAATATTTATCCTCGGTGTTTGACAGTACAGTACCCACACAAGTGTTTATCGTCAATTATGGTATAGATACTTGATATGTCCCTCATGAAATTTTAAATGACAGATGGTCTTAACTTTTGCAAACAATTATATATAGCTCGATTGCTATATGAAAGGAAAATTTTATAAGTAAGTAGACACGTACATCCACCAGATGTTTGTATGTACACTGTTCATATTCTGCATCTAATCTTGGCCGGCTGGGATTCAACAGGCAGAGGCATCCCATACACACACGCAGGTGTACATCTCAGGTTCCTTCTGAAACAAGCATCGAGTACCACCGCACTTTGATTTGACAGCACAAGTAACCAGCCCCGAGACAAGTATAAAGTATTGGAGAAAGCCTTGTCCAGAGAGCTTTGAGAGAGCCCGACTCCAACTTCCAGGCCGAGGGGAACTGGGAGACAATTCTTGATCAGCCTGCAACCGGATCTTTGCTTGGTGGTTGGCATGGGTAGCATGAAGTTCCAGTGCGTCCTTGGTCAGCGGCAGTGCCCCAAATCCCACCTTAGCTTCTCTAAAGAGATGGAGTTTAGCCTGATCTACCATCAACAGCTCTTTTATGCCATACAAATTACAAACAAAATGCTCAATTTACGGTGCAAGGTCTCCGTCACGACCAATTCCCTCAAGAAACTGTCTTTTTGTGGATGATTCTGGAAGATTTTTGGGCATGACTTTTTCCATGCCAAGTGAATAATGAGGTTGTGTCACAGCCTGTCGGGGCATGGAATCCTAGATTGTGTTCTTTCACAGTTGGCTTGAGTCGTTCTTAAATCTTGTGTATATCGCTCTCACTTCTTTGCTGTTCCAGCTCTCATCCAAATTTCAGCTTTAGTAGAGGAGACGTGTATCCGGAGAAGCATGCCATTGGTATCCATGCAGAAAACCAGCGAGCTTTTCTATCCATTTCTCATAGCTTCACACGCATGCAGAATAATCCTGGTGTCAGCTTCCTCATGGTTTCCTTGCAGTTCTGTGGTTTGTCTTCTTGTCGATTTGCTGTTGTAAATTTGGAGAATTCTCCTCCAGTTACCAACTTGTACATGTCTGATATTTCCTTACCTCTCTCTAAGATAGCTTCCGACAAAAGTCGGCAAGATCAGCTTCGTTTTCACTGAGAGCGATGAATTACGTTCCACACATGCGGGAGTGGTACACGGCATCCTTTAATGAGTTTTCTGATTGGTTTCTTGTCCCCATTCGCCTTTTCCTGCCGTTACTGCCATGATTGAGTTACCTCCAATGTAGCCATTTCAACTTTTGTCTCTGTGCTCTTCAAAATTACCCGTGACAATTTTTACGAACACGTCGGCATAAAATTCGCCAAATGACGGACATGTGTCATCCGAGGCTTTCCTGTAAGCTTTTCCCCAATATCATGTAGAATTAGCCCAAAGGCGCATTCACTGTTGAATTTGACCCCCCCCCACCACCACCAAAAGCTAGATATGCCACTGAAGAGTGCATGGACATCTACCAAAATACACGTCTTCAGATGAGTGTATGGAATATCTGGGAGTATCTCAAGTTCAGATGACAAGATGCTAAACAGCTCTGCTTTTGGGGTAGAGTTCATCTCACCTCTAGGCTTTGCCAGGGACAGAGGGATTAGGGAGAATTGCACATAAATGGGAAGCAGTGCGACAAGAACTCTTGCCTTCTTTTGCAGATATTTCCCCAACTACTGCAAATCTGGATATGAAACTCACATCAACGGATACGGGAAAATGTACTCTTTAGATGCCACCACCAGATTTTGAATATTGAAACTATCCAATCTTAAATATTGAGGCCCAACCTAAGGCCAACGGGGACAATCTACATGGGGAAATGAAAAAAGTAAGCTTGACTGACCATAATCTCACTGTCATTTGCCGATCTTTGTTTAGCTTTTGTGGAATGACGTTACACAGCGTCTCTTTCGCCACCCTCTACGCCCTGACGTCTTGCGTGCCGTGAGCGATCGGTACGACGATATGGAAACCAAGCTTTGCCGTCCACTGAATACGCTTTGACCAACGGACCCCTCGCCACTGTTCTGGACCGCCTACTGTACTGATCGCGGCTAGCATTACTCGGCCCGATATCACAAAAGCGTGCGACACAACGCACCACAGGAATCGCAATGTTGTACAGTTTGACCGTAGTTCGACAAGGGATGCTCGCATACTTTATTCAAAGTCCGCAAGCACATGCTCAAGATACGTACAATCAGTTGGTCAGTCCGTCTAGCTTTTAAGAAACATATAGCTACCTCATTCTTCCTCTTTCTTTAAGTCAGTCGCGGTGGGTCGTGACCAGTGACTTATCTCAATTCGGCATTTGGGTTCCTTTTTGGCTCTTCAGGAACATGTCTCTCGGGTAACAAAGAGCGTTTTGGAGGGTCAAAATCTGACCAAAAATTCAAGTCTGAGACGAATCCCAGAATTGAAACGAGTACGCTGAAGGCGTTTTCCATACGCGCTCTTTCAGTGCGCATCGATTCCGTACGTAAGATTCGGAGACGATAATGTTCGTTGAAACAGTAGAGGGCTAGAACACAAACGGATGTGGGTAGGAAACGGACAAAAATCTACATAGTGGAAAGGACGCCATGATATAAGCTTAATGAGCAGTGTACATGCACAAGAAAAAACAATTACGTAACGCTTCCACTGAATGTCTAACAACGTACGGAATCCCCATTGTGCCTTTTAATTTTGTCTTTTATTCGTTTTGTAACATTCTTGGTCGTATTGTGCCTTTTTCAATATTGTACGATTAAATGTTTTAACTACACTGTGAGAAATGGATGATTTATGTTCATTTGTATGCCCTGTGTCTTAGGTCCTTTTCTGGGAAGTTCTTTCAAGGGATAGATGAATTGACACTTTGGATTGGGACGAATATTTTCATTAAAACGAAACGGTTTGAAATAATTGTATGATGCAAGGATGAGTATTAAAAACTTCACATTATTTGCTGGTTTTTTTTTTTTCATGGATTTTTTCTTTTACAAGGATACAAGGGTCACACCAAAAATCGTGGGTTATACTGAGCTGACGTGACTGCATTTCAACACTTTGTGTTCATTAATCCTGTTCCCATAATAAGGGAACAAAGTCTACTTTTTCGAAACAACTTATCCAGACAAGTTGTTGGTCATGATGTCCTCTTTCATATCGGAAAGAAGAGAGAACACGGCTTTTGGTTTTTGAGAGAAATTCTGGGGTAAAACGGCAACGTACATGAACGCCCCGAAGAGTTGTGAACGACGACAAAATTAGCGAATGCAGTCTGGTTCCTTGACCTGGAGATTTGTTTCGATGAATCCAAAAAGCCTGAGTCGGGTAACCAGACGAGAAACAAAATGGCGTGATTTGACAGAGCGGTTGTCTTTCGTAAAACTCGGGTTAAAAATTTGTGATTTTCTTGCTGAAATATTGCCAATATTTACCTAAACTAGGCCTATCCAGATTGAGTTATGGTTTGTTAAGGTCAAAATATTAGGAAGTGGACTTTGTTTCTTTATTATAGGACCAGGTAGCTGGAGGTAATGAACACCAAGTTCTACAGGCTAACCTCAAAATGTCATGAGCTCGATGATGATTACTTTCACGTTTCAAATGGCCAATTGGGGTCAATAGCAGTTTTGCCAAAAAATGGCACATTAAGTTACCGTACAGATTGGCTTTGAAGGGGTTTCAAGGATCACATCATATTTTTGCATCAATTGAGACTCTTCTCTGAGCACTGCACTGATCGGCAAAGGCTAAAATATAAGTTACTAGCTATAATGAGCATCGTAATGGTCCTGCATTCCGAGACCAACACTTTGAACCTGTGGCCTACCTGATACAGTACCGCCCTCTGCAAAGGCTGTGCTTGATTCTCGAGTGTGCAATGCTCCGCCGAACCGCCCTCCTATATTCCCACGCTATCTCCTGCCTGTATGCATGTATTCCCTTCGCACTCTAGTCGCATCCAAAATGTACTGCCAAGAAATAATGCTCCATGCTCACGGCCCTTAAAACACTTGCCTAACTCGACCTCCGCGTCGGAAGTCCCAAATGTCAAAGTACTGCACAAGTACAAGTAACTAAGGGCCTACTGATTCCAGTGACATTCCAGAGACCGGCACCGCCCATACCACCACCGCCCTTGGACTCTTGCCAAAGCCTTCCCGCGTGAAACCAACAAAAGAGCCCCATTCAATGAAACGATTGGTGATAGGCCTGTGGGGAAGGATTTCCGGGCGTTTGTTTCTTAATTGTTCAAATGGGGTTATTGAAAATACTGCGTTGTGGTTCCCGCGGCATGATGTCCGGTGTCGCTTTGGCTTTACAATTCAGACTCGCGCAGTGCTACCTGCCCAGAGTGGCGCATCCAGCGCGGGCAGGAATTTTCTTAGGAATCAAAAACGCCAACGTTTTTTAGAAACGGTACTGGCACCTTCAGGGGACTCTTTATGGATGAAAAGATGGACAACCCTTTTCGATAAACAAAATACTTTTTTGGTAGAAAATGCAGCCAAAAGTCTCTTTCTCGCAGTGTCCGAAGTAGACTTCATACCAGCCTCGTTCTTGGGTTTCAGTAGTCTGGTATAGGCCTACTCTAAGAGATAAATCGGTTTAATAATCAGAAATGTTGGTGGCAAAGGTTTGAAAACCTTATCTCTTGTAAAAAGCAGCGCTGATTCCCAAAAAGCTCTTATTGACCCCACGTACATTTTTTTTAGATATTTGCCAATTTTTGCCCCAAAATGCCATTTTCAACTACATTTTGGTAAAAAAGAACGGTGAATCCAAATGTTCCAACAATCTTATCTTATGCATAAAGTGACGCTGATTCCAAAAGCAGCAGTTCCATTGACCCCATTCCCACTGTTTTTGAGATATTTGCCCTTTATGCCCAAAAATGTCATGCCCATAGAAAACAGTGAAAAAAAATCAGAACTGGCGCCGCCTTAGGACTCTCAGAAAGAGGTTGGCCTCCCGTTTTTCTTTCGAAATTCAAGACCATGGACGGAAGTTCAGTTTTCTTTTCAATTTAATAGGGGTCAGCCACGCCATCTTTTTATTCGCCTTTCGCCTACAACACCCCTAAAATAGTAATAAACTATGGGCTCAGCTCTAAATGTAGCTGTCCGCCTCTGAGCAAAAACGGCCCAAAGGTTGGAGGCATTTTGAAACAAAATACTCCGAGTTGGAAGCTCCGAATCCTAAATTCGTGATTGCTAGAAACATCTCCATGATCGCTCCCTATAATGACACCTCTTATTGCCAACAACCCGTGGATCACACAATATCAATGAGCCCGCCGCGCACCAAGAAATTTAGCCACTTAGAGTACGGAAGTATGACGTTATTTTGAACGAGGAAATACATGTATAATGCAAACATTGGTCTCAATTATAAAGAGCCTACACATAATTTCATGTAATGGAGATCAATCAGGGCAAACAAAAGTACGTGCGCATGTTGGTTCACGCGCCGGTTCTGGCGCTACGGACCAGAGCTCAAGCACTCCCTTTACATCTGGGGTTTGAGAAGTAACTTGATGATGTTGGTTTTTTTTATATTTTCTCTAACAGGTAGTTAGGAACCCAGTGAAATTCACACCTTTGCTGAAGACCTCTGGAGGGATGACATCCTAATCAAATTGGCAGATGATGACAACCACTGCAGCGGTTTGGACGTTGTCCACAGTGACAACTCTGGTGATGATTCAGACAGTGAAATCCCCGACCCTGGAACTACTTCTGATGGTCACAATGCTTGCAATTAATCAGACTGTGACGATTCCACAGAAGACAATGCCACCAAGAATGACAGAGATGGACCAAACTGCCAGGCTCACCCTGAGGGGCCTGCGGGGGATGAAACACACCGCGATGAACCCCGTCAAGTTCACAAGGCGAGGGAGCAGGAGACAGAGGCCATAAGTCAACTGCCTTACGTGCATTGATACGGCAACAGCTGGCTAGGAGATGACATCAACATCGAGGATGATGGGGATGTTGATCATGCTGATGATGGCAATCTTCTCCACTTAATCTCATCATGTCGATCTGATCAATCAGCCAGCACCTCCTGGTCAGCAATAATGTGCTAAATAAATTCTTATGTCAAATCAACTAAATTACAGGCTCCGTGCACAAGTACCTTCACAGGCAACAGAAATAGAGTCCCAGCCGAAAAGTTACATTGTTTGTGTCCAACTTACTTGGCTGTGGCTTAAAATTACAAACAACTCTATGGGAGAAGGCTACAGCCATTCCCATAAACTTTTGTTGATTCGCCTATTTCACGCTATCTAATGCTGCTGATACGGCCAACAAGAAAGGAGAGAATCTGACCTGCTTTATTAAATTGATTAATTTAATTCAACCAACATACATGCAGCTGTAAACTGCAAGCAAGGAATATACACTCATTAGTTCCATCTCAGAATGCCTGCTTGGACATGAATTTAGACACTCTAATAATGGCTGTTTATTTACTTCTAAATGTTTCTTTCTCATTATGGCAGGCTATAAACAGATATTCCATCAAAGACAACTGGAGTTTATCGCTGTGCTGGATGTAGCAGATTTTACAGACCCTCCAGACGGCCTGACAATCCTGGCTCAAGGTGCTTTTGGTGAGGTTTCTCAGAAGTACCAGGTCTCCCTTGCCAGCTAGGTGGCCTACAAGTTGCTACTGACCAACAGTGTCCACGACAACGTCATCCTCTAGGGCCAGGCGATGCAGCTGCTAAGCAACCATCCGTCCTTCCTCAACGTCCACGGTGTGGTGGTCTGTGACAGCCACTAGGGCCCTCTTGACTGAGTTCCTTGGAGATGAGCTCTAAGCCTGGCCACTGACACTCACTGATGCCCCGTGCGGAGGGCGCCCACTGGAGCTCTCACCGGACGAATGGTGCGAAATTGTGCTTGATGCAATTGAAGAGTTGTGGTGCACACATCCCTGCAAACTACTGCATCTGGACATCAAGACAGACAACATCCTGCTTGTTGAGGGTGCAGCCCACTGGAGGGCATGCATCATCGACTTCGGAGAGTGCCGCCAGTCGTCAAAGAAACTGGTGCTCCCCTCAAGGATGAGGACTTCAACCTAGACACCCCTCTGGTGGGAATGTCAGCAACCCAGGTACACTGGACCACATACAGTGACATGGGAAGGTTCCATTTCTTGAAGAGGGGGGCAGCTACAGTCAAGAAGACTGCCCAGTGGGGTTCTAGATACATCAAGTATCCCAAGATTGAAGTTGTGAGATTCCAATTGCAGAATAAAGGAAACAGTCTGCCACCTGCCGCATATTAAAGGTAAACAAAAAGACAATAATTCATACCTTCACAGGTCAAAATTTCCTTTAAACCAAAAGTGTATTATTTATAAACTTGATGCGATTTTCCTAAAACAAACTTAACACATACATCTGAATTATACCTTTATGGTATATTTACAACCCAAACATTGTTCACCTGTCTATTTCCTTACCTATTTTTTACACACAAAAGAGTTTGACCATTCAGCCAAAGAATCTGAAACTCAACTGAAATCCTGAATGCGCAATGATTTCTCAAAATACTTAGCAATATAAATACTTATGAGTAAATAATGAATGATATAAAAGTGAAAAAACCAACTTTAAAAAATGAGAAAATCCTACAAAAAATCTGAAAAAAAATAAAAACACTTCCCTTGATTTTGTGCCTGAGGGGACCTAAGTAAATTATGTCAGAAAAGTGTTTTCAAAAGTTCCAGTACCATCTCTGATGCAACTTCATACTTATTAAAAAGGAATTTCGACCACCTGGAATAACGTAAGACTTGGTAACAAGCAGAGGCAATTTGCAATTCAGTGTGTCACCAAGAGGTGTCCACGCAGAGGCCATTTTTCAAGTTTACGATCAACAAAAGCATGGCTGTCTTGCAGCAATTTGCTTTTGAGCACGTCAGCAGAAAACGTGGGGAAGTTTGTGGTAGATTGGGACATTCTAAGCAGTAGAAATGATTAGTAAAACTGTTACTCGGAAAACACTTATGAATCTTTTCTGACAAAAAGATCAGGAATAATTCAAGTTCCCAAGCAAACTAAAAAGAAAAATCAGCCTTTCCATGGCAACCTCTTTGTGGCACAATGTTTTGTGAATCGCTCGTATTAAGAATGGTGGAGGATGTACCTGAGACACCGCTCTTTTCATTCGGCAACCACCTTCCTCCAGAGACCTCCACACAGGCACGACCTCGCCCAGCGCTGTTCCCATGACTTCATGGCGGGAGAACGGCTTGGCGAGTTCAGCATCGAAATAGAGGAACACCTTAAGCGAAAGCAATGCGCATACACATAAAATCAGGAACCATTAACAAAACGCTTGACAGCTGTTCATTTCAGCTCAAACATTTTCAAAGCCACATTTACCATAATCCTCTGACCACGCCCCCTCTCCATGGGCATAGTGGGGAGGCAAGCACAACCCCCCCCAAAAAAAATCATAAATACTTTTTTAAAAAGTTGAAAACGGAAAAGCAAACAGGAAAGAAACGAGGCACAAGGGTGAGACCTCACCAATTTGCTTTAAAACGGCTCAGAATTCACCTTTCACCACTGATGACTGATGGTTTAATCACTTTGCAGGCAATGAGTGCTTCCCCACCCCCCCCTCCACCCTCAAAAAAATCCTGACGACAACCGTGCCCTCCTCCCATGACAGAATATGTGGGAAATTATGACGGTCATATGTCATGTTTTACAGTTTATGAAAAGTGTATGACAGACTGTAAACTATGCTTCCCATAGTGTACATTTTGTTACCTTTAAGTAAAATGATGGGGGAAAAAATGGCCGCCTATCTGAACCCATAACTTTGACGAGTCTCTCGGAGTGGTTTGGAAATATATTCATATCTTTGAGAAACAAAATTTCAACAGTGGCTTGGCCAGGTTTTACATTGCAATTCTTTTGCCTTCAAGCTGCTCAGACCCTGGCTACGTTCCCATCACTTAGATAAGGAGGACCAGGAAGCAATTTTAATGCACTGCTAAACACTTAGCAGAAAAGTTGAACTTACAGAAGCAGAGCATTTTGTTAACCTTAAGCACTATTTCACGACAGTGCTTGGTCTGTTTGTGCTTACAGCCATGCATGCATGGAGATTTCCATTGTTTTGTTACTCTGTTAAGCAAATTTTCCTCCAAGGTAAGCGTGCCTTTTGATGTGCTCACTGCTTATGGTCTTTGTGAAATACATACAGTCTCTGTTAGCAAACCATCTTAGCTAAGCAGCTTGGACCCAGTTGAGCAAAGCCTTTTGCGAGTTGAATCTGAATAAAATTTGGTGCACTGAGTTCTTTAAATTTATGTGAACCTAACAATTTGAATTCTCCATACTGAAGACACTGTTGCTATACCTCATGATTCGGGGCAAGCTTTTGCTTGGTTACGTAAGAGATGCCTTGCACCAATACACTGTTCTCAATGGAAAAGAAGGGTACAAAGGAACCAGTCCATTCCAGAGATGGTGGTTGCTATACAAAAGCTCGCCCTGAATAACAAGGTATGGCAATTGTGTCTTTAGTCTGGGGAATCCAGATTATGTTTATGTGCAATCAGATGATCCAGTGTACCAGATTTTATTCAAATTTAACTTGCAAAAGGCTTGTTCCAACTTGACAGCGAGAAGGCTAATTCAACAACATAAATTTACTGCCATTTAGTGCCTTGTTATGGAACACAATTTCACCTCGCTTACAACTTCATACAGACCAACCTGGTTCACACAAATTTAGAGACACTGAGGTACCACACTCAGGCAGGTCACACATATTCTACAGTGAGACACGTGTGCATTGTTGGAAATTCGTAAAGAGTTATTAGACAAAGGAGCATTGCGTCTGCGTTGGCGTTTCCATCCTACCTTGTGCAGCTACGTATTTCCTCCGGCGGCGACACCCCGAGGTACAGCCGGCGAACAACATCCGTCTTCTGGTGTACCCGGTCGGCCAGCGACCTGACATTGACTTCCGACCCGGGGAAGATGTTCAGGCTGTGGCCCAGGGTGGCCATGTTGACCATGTGGGACGGGGAGGTGTGGAACTGGAAACTCATGGCCTGCCGCAGGATGAGCAGCTTACCAGTGATCCCTAGGAAATCAATACACAGGAAAAAGGAGAGTGGAACCAGCTCAAGTGCAGATCGTGGATAAGGCCAAGGCCACATTGGCAATGGCAAAAAACAGTACGTATGGAGAACTGCATGAAGCCACTAGCTAGCGGCTATCACAGGCACATGTTATTTACAGCCATAGCCACATAATTCAGGCACAGAGTTAGTCTCAATGTCTCATCAAGAGAAGTTTCCAAAATCTGCACATTATTTCTCCCTCGAGTCTTTGGCTAGAATTCCACCAATTCAATCCCCTGAATTCAGACCTTTAACCACTTACCTATGGTATCGCTTTGGGCCAGAAATTCTTCCTTTCCAAAAAGCAAGATAAAGCAGTCAACGTTTGACATACAGCCAAACTGTGCATAAATTTGGGGTCTGACGTGTGACATTTGTCCTTCCCTGTTACACCTGACTTTGACAAAGGATATATCACTTGTATATTTTGACAAGGGATATATCACTTGTAGACTTTGACAAGGGATATTTTACTGGAATTATTTTTGAATTGTTTTTGTTTGGCGGGTCATTTGCCATACTTATTCAATCTTGGAAATTAAAAAAAGAGTTCTTAACATTAAAAAATCACATTCCAGATTTAACTGGGACGAGAAAAAAAGGACCCCAAATTTACAGAACGACCTATGTACTGATTCAAGAGAGTCATTTAAACAGCATCTCTATGCTATACTGTACCACAATCTCACAGTTTTCAACACTGCGAGCAGAGCTTTAGCCGGGTCCATCACAAGCCTCTGTAAGTCCATGACAAGTTACAAACTATTGAAGTAAACCTGCTGTAAAAAAACATTCCTTTGTCTTTGTTTAACGCGCCTGATGACTGGTCTTAGGAAAGGTGTTTCTTGGTGTTGGGCGGAGATTTGGGAAGGGGAAATTTTCTGTGAAAATGACCGCCGATGTATTTTCCAGCCGTGTAAGAACCTTCTTACCTTCTGTGACAGGTGTCACGTCCAGTGGTTGCATCATGATCTGGCTTGGCAAGAGACAACACTCGTCTGACGAAAAAAACCAAGTCAAGTGAGAGAAACTGGTAAATAGCATGTCAGGCCACCCCTTCCAGCTCGTTTCACTCTCACTTCTCAGCATCTTGTGTCAAATCGCCGACAGGTCGTCCAAGAGACCCACTAACACTAGACAAGATTCATTCTTTAAAAAATTCATGTCGGGTGCTCAAATGAGCACCTGAAAACTGGAGCACCCCACCCAAGCTACTTCCGAGGTACATCCCCCCCAAAAAGACCTCCTCCTTTTTCCCAATTTCAGTAAAAATGCTTCAGCTCAAAGAAGCTTCCCCAATACGAGTGTGGATTCTTATTGGAATCTTCAGGGAATCTTTTTCACCTGCAACGACCACAATATTTCAAGACCTTAGTTTTTCAAGGATGCAACTGTGCCCCCAAAATTACATCAGATGCCAAAAGGAATGACTCAGCAAAATCACTTCAGCTTCAGTGTTGTAGTCGGGACCATTTAAGGCCTTCACAAGACCAGCACAAGACCTCCAGTCTGAATTCAAGNACTGGTCTTGTGATGGTCTTGTGTCTGGTCTTGTATCTGGTCTTGTGCCTGGTCTCGTGCATGGTCTTGTATCTGGTCTTGTGTCTGGTCTTGTATCTGGTCTTGTGTCTGGTCTTGTATCTGGTCTTGTGTCTGGTCTTGTATCTGGTCTTGTGTCTGGTCTTGTGCAGGGTCTTGTATCTGGTCTTATCATGGTCTTGTGTCTGGTCTTGTGATGGTCTTGTGACTGGTCTTGTGTCTGGTCTTGTGTCTGGTCTTGTGTCTGGTGCAGCCATAAACTGACTCACACAGGGGCACTGTTCTCAACTGACACTCCTTGCAACACCTGTAGCCATTGCGCAGAATTGACTACAGCTGAGGCAGGCTACCCACCGACTGTGTTATCATCCAGGTCTGCCGGGGGCATCTCCTTGCTGGCCAGCCACAATTGGGTTGTGAGTTTGTACAGATGGGACATGCTGTCCAAGGTGTCTACACGGGAAGACAAAAGCTTATTACTAAATCAAATCTCTCATGAGACTTGGGCGAGTTCGATGGACGACCACATGTCGACCACCAGTCGATTTTCCTTGGTAACCTGTGCCCCCCAAAAAATCCCCCGGTACCAACATCAGACAACATCGACCAGTGATCGCCAAAGGGTGGTTACTCAAATGTGCCCGAAGCTACTTCTGACAGTTGGGACTATAAACCAATGAAATGCACCAACTCAGTCACTTGACAAAATATCGGCCAACCTCTTTGCCACAGAGTTTCATACTGGTAAATACCTGGCATCGCATGGAAAATGCATTTTACGGCTGGATATTGATGTGAATTCACCAATTCTCACATCCACTCAGAAATATGTCACCCACGGCAAAATATAGCCAGCCCCAATCAGTTATACAGAATCCTTTCTTCAATTGGCTTGAACAAGTTTCCCTTGGTGTAATACCAAAACCAGTTTGCAAGTGATGTCAAGATGCAAAAGTCCAGAATACGCTGGCACTGAATCAGTTGCTGTGACCTGACCTAGCGTCGTTGAGAACACCGGCAGGCACGTCTTCTTGCGCGTCCCCCACATCTTGATGAGCACCAGCATCTCGCGTAGTGAGCCCAGCGTGGCCGTGTCCCTCAATATGCTGACCTGCGGAGGGCAAAGGTTAAAAGATGGCATGACTGTTGCCACAGGCATACAGCCAAACTGGTTAAAAAGCAACCACAACCCCATTCCATGCTAAGCAAGAGGAGACTGCTCAGCAAGTTTATCTGATCAGAAAGAAAAATGGAAATTTCAACAAAAATCAGAAGCAATGAGTCTCCGGAAATAAGTTTTAACAAATTTACTGGAAGTACTTTTGCCCTAAATACTTCAAAATTCTCCCCCAAATAATACTCTTTTTCACATTCCTCTATCCTACAAAGCCCCTTCATGGATTTGGAAGAATTTAAGTAGGCCTGGTTGAATAGCCTTGGTGTTTAAATTGCATGGAAGTTCACACACTGGAAAAATTCTAATAGAATTCTAATAGAATAATAATTCTAATAATTCAGATAGGAACCCTCAACCTGTTTCACCCACATAATGTCCATTGTCATTAGGATGCCATATCAAGTGATTCATCCAAACGAAGAGCCCAGTGGGCTCTTTGTAATGTAAACTAGAACAAAATCACTCAAGACGACCTTCAGACACATTTCGTGGGATCACATATTCGACTCTAGAGCACCGAGAGCAGACGGTACGAACTCGGTTCTTTGCCATTTCAAAAGTCCAAAGTAAAGATAAACATTGGGACAGAAACTTGTGCTGATGTTACAAACCCCTGGCTTGGTTGGGTTCAAAGCCTGCTGCGGAACGGTGCTCAGCGTGTGAAGACAGTAGTCTGCTATCCACTGGATCAGTTGCTGCAGGGACTGTAGGGTATCTGCAGTAACAGAGAGGAGACCGAAACAAGATATGAGAAAATTGAGAAAAAAAAACAGTAAAGTTAAAAAACAGGACAAGGGAATCAAAACATTTTATCAATTACACATGGGCACAAATTCTAAGCAGGCCCTCCCCAAAAAAAAACAATTGGCACATGGTCAGGGCTTGGATCTTCTTCACACAAAAATGAAAACTTCACTGATGAATTGACTTCTTGCTCATAACTCTTCTCTTCAAGGAGACAATTTCTGAAAACAACATTTTCAATTCAAAAACAAACAGATGTGCTATAAAAATAACAAACACAAAATTCTTTTCTTGAATTTTTTAATCAATAAATTGAAAGGGTATAGAAGAAATGAAAATCTGTATCTATCTATTCCATTAATTTTGATTTTGTATGATTTTTTGTATGATTGGTGCCAATGTCCAGCCTTGTCCGATATCATCCGGACATGGCTATGAGTAAGGCACATGCTGTATGGGCAGTCGCATGGGAAGTCACAGCAGCCGCTGGCTTGTGGCTTCCATATGCATGCATGATAATTCCAGCCGCAGCCACAATGTCTGGACACGACAATGTCCGGGTAACTCACTGGGATCCAGAGCAAAGTCCTTGGCATCTAGGTTGGTGAGGACCTTGTTCAGGTCCAACTCGCTGCTGTGGGCACAGACAGCTGCGAAAAGGAAAAACAATGGAATTGGGGAGTGAACAAACCTTCAATGCCAACACAGCCTAGTGTGTATTTGCCTGCAACCGGGGACCCCCTATTGTTCCT